CAAAGAGAGGGATCTTCCATCCACTGGTTCATCTCCCTTCCCCTCCCCGCCTCACCAATGGCTGCAATGGACAGCATTGGGCCAGGCCAAAGCCAGGATCTCCATCTGGGTCTCCCACCTAGGTGGAGGAACAGGTTTTTTTCATACTATTTATTGAACTCTTTATTTGGCAGAGTTAATCTTATGTGTATACAGTTAATTGACAAAATTAGTAAAAAAAAAAAAAAAAAAAAAAAAAAAAAAGAAGAAGAAGAATGGGATTAGGAGAGGGAGGAGGAAGAAGGGTAGGAGTGCAGGTGGGAAGAATCACTATGTTCCTAAATTTGTATTTATAAAACACATGAAGTTTGTATACCTTAAATAAAAAGTTTTTGAGGGGAAATGACCAAAAAAATACCTGACAATGTAGGATTCAGAGCAAAGAATGCTACCAGCAATGGAATAATGACAAGAAATTTCATCAAAACTACAAAACACAGTAAGGATTATGCACATAACAGAAGTTCTGACTTTATAAGGTAAAAACAATATAATTACAAGGAGAACTATTCAAATTCACAGCTATAAATATATCAACACTTTCAATAATTGATATACCAGGTAGGCAGATCAGTAAGATATAAAAACCTGAAAACACTTGTTGAATATCATGGTTACTGGTTAATTAAGCCTGTGAATAAAGAGTAGATTTTTAAAAAAATTTTAAAGATTTATCTACCTCTGTGAGAGATAGAGTTATAGATAGAGGGAAAGACAGAAAGAAAGGTCCTCCATCTGCTAGTTCACTCCCCCAAATTGCAGCAATGGCCAGGGCTGGGCCAATCTGAAGCCAGGAGCTTCCTCCAGGTCTCCAATGTGGGTGCAGGGGCCCAAGCACATGAGCCATCTTCCACTGCCTTCCCAGACCACAGCAGAGAGCTGGATCAGAAGAGGAGCAGCCAGAACACGAACCAGCACCCATATTGTTATAGAAACCTGGGGTAGGAAAACTCCCTGCATTCAAACAGGCACCAGAGACAGTGGAGGATTAAGCGGTTTATTAAGTCAGGGGGCTCGGCTGGAATCATTTCCTGAGAACTGAGCAACAATCTCAAGTTTCTTATAATATTTACAGGTTTATCAGTGTCATACCTTAGCTTTCACAGCACTGGTGGGTTTAAATTGCAGCCTACATGACTTAGGACTACACCTCAATGGTCGGTGTGTCTGGTATGTTTGTAGAAGAGATACCAGGGGCAGATTTATTAGGACAGATTTATGACTGGAGTTCACAGAAACAGAACTTAGGACTTCTTCCCTCCCTGGACAAGGTAACAGTGGGCAGCTCTGCTTCACTAGTTAATTGCAAGCAGTCATTTTTCAAGGTTTGTATTGGGAGGAGGGGTCTGTTTTTCTTTGTTTCTTTTGTCTTTGTGGCCGTATTTCCTCTACAATATAACATGTGGACACCACAGGCAGAGGCTTAGCCCACTACGCCACAGTGCTGGCCCCCAGAAGTGGGTTTAAATTATGTCTGCAAAAACTGGTGAAGAGAGGAGAGGGAAGAAGGGAGAGAGAGGAACTTGAGGGGGTGGTGACTAAATTCATATTCATAGAACGTTCCACTCAACAATAGTAAAATATACACATTTTGATCAAGCTAAACTAAGCTCTGGTTTGCAAAGCAAGCACTGACAAATTTAAAATAATTAAAAATACACAAAGCATGTGTTCTGACAATGAAATTAAATTAGTACTAAATAACACAAGGTCACTTGGGAGAGTCCTAAATATCTAGAAAGTCAGTATCATCTTTTTCAGTAATCTGTAAGTCAAAAAAGAAATTAAGACAAATTGGATAATACACTGAACAAAGTGAAAATGAAACTTAATATCTCCAATTTTGTGAAATACAGGTGAAACTGTGCATAGATGGAATTTTATACTTGGATAGAAGAAAAAAAAGTTTCAAATCAGTGATGTTAGTTTCTACCTTAAGAAACTAGGGAAAAGAACAGATTCAAACCAAAGGAACCATAAAAAATAAATAAATAAATAAATAAATAAATAAAAATAAGCACAAAAAAAGAGAAAAGGAAAATGGAAAAATAATAAAGGTGAGATCCTCAATCAAAATGATGATATTTACTCTCTCAGTGACAGAGCCTGGAGGTGCAAGATGTGACTGACAATTGAAACACAAAGTTCTACCCAGGATCAACTGAGATCCAGACAACAGGAAGCTAACTCCCCCGAGGCCTGGACTCTAGAAGAGGCTGTCAGAGATGGAGAGTTCCCACTGCTTCTCCTACTGCCCCCAATTATAAAAGCAGGCTGGTGTCTCCTACCAATCACAAAGCTGCCTGTGCCTGGTATGAGAGGCAGTAAGAAACATTTGCTAGTAAATACTCGCTCACCTGCAGAAGCTTGAGTTAGCTACCACTTGAGAGTGAAACTATTTTTTTAAAGTTTATTTATTTATTGAAAGCCACAGTTAACAGAGAGAGAAGGAGAGGCAGAGAGAGAGAGATCTTCCATCCACTGGCTCACTCCCCAACTGGCTGCAATGGCCAGAGCTGTGCCAATCCAAAGCCAGGAGCTTCCTCGGGGTCTCCCACGTGGGTGCAGGGGCGCAAGGACTTGGGCCATCTTCTACTGCTTTCCCAGGCCATAGCAGAGAGCTGAATTGGAAGTGGAGCAGCCAGGATTCGAACCAGTGCCCATATGGGATGCCGGCACTGCAGATGGTGGCCTCACCCACTCTGCCACAGCCCCAGCCCCAAAACTATTTTCTAAATCATTTGCAAATTCTAGAGAGATTAAATTCTTGGGTTTTTCCTGAATTCCTAAAAGGGATAACTTGAAAGCCATGTTCTCAACTTTTAAATGCATCACACTTAATGATAGACAGAAAAATAACTGTTTTCACATGCATCAGATTAGCAATTCATGGCTAATAACTCTTAATGATTTTTAATCAGGGAATATCAATTGAAACTCAGTCATTGTGTTCAGCTTTGAGCTGTATTCCCCTGCCATGCCTTGCTGTCCACAGTAATAGCTGCCTCGCATTCAGTCCGTACACATTCCTCCAGCCTCTGCTCCCTGTATCACTGGCTGCTGTTGTCAGTGTAGGAAGGAAAGCATTCAGGCTGGGTTTCTATGGGCAAGAGTATAAGCAATTTCTTAGCCCAATAATTTTCAATACAAAATTTCACTTATAATTCTGTTACTTTGGAATTGGAAACATTATAAATGGTTTTGGTATTACAAAAGAAGTGCAAACAAAGTTGCTTGGCATAGAAAGTAATCCTTATGCAAGCTAACAAATCTGATCCTTCAAATTTGCAATTCTGAAATCAGACTTAGTCCAAGGACTTGGTTGCTCTTCCTAGAATAATACAACTAGTTTGAAGCTATGCTGAAGCTAGATACAATTCAAGTTTCTGAACTACAGACATGCTGTTTCTTCTCTTTGTCATGTGTGAACTTGCTGTAGGAAAAAAAAGTTTTAAAAATGTTTTAAATATATATTTTATCAAAATAACTGCTAAGCACTTGGTATATTTGAAATTTAAAATAACTTTGAGACATATTGTTTAGGGATGCTCCTACAGCCTCAGAAAAATCATACCCATGTTATGTGAGTCCAGTGCAAAGAGAATAGGAGGAAATGGGAGGTACAACAAGTCAGCTCCCAAAAACTGCAATAGAATGACAGAAAATTAGCTGTTTTCAGAACGGTGGGGTCTCTTTTTGTTTTTACCTACATGCGATATTCATTTCAAGGGGTAAATTTACTATCTGAAAGAATTTTAGCAAAGATGTTTTGATTGCCTTGATGAGTAAACTACAAAGCCAATATAAATCAATCATACCTAACTTCTCTAATCTCTATGAAACCAAGGAAATCTATATGTATGGATCTGCAGAAAAATCATGTGTAACCATTCACAGGAAGAGTAAGAAAATGTTAACCACTACCTCAATGGCTCCCTTTCTTACTATTGATTTTATTGCACATTGTTCTTTTAGATCCTAAGAGCATGTAATTTTTAACATCTTTTTTCTTCTAAGACATTAAGAATTTCAGGATGCCTCCAAACATACAACATTTCTCTGACTCAGCATTTCTCATCCTATGCCTCACAGAGGGAGTGAGTCATGGTACTTGGAAGAACTGCTATTCCTGCCCAACCACAATGAACACCCTCTGTATACTGCCCAACTTCCACTGGTCCACTAATAGGTGATGGGGCAAGGATCTTGGCCAGTGCTTCTCAGACTTTCATGAATCTAAAACTCACCAAAGGCAATATTCATATACAAATTTGGGCTCTCTTATTCTAATTGGCAAAGTCTCAGGTAGAGCCTGGGAACTGGCATTTTAAATAAGTACAATAGATGAATCCTTTTACAAGGAGTGTGTAAGCAACACTCTGAGAAAGTGTTGCTGACTCGTGAAGCTGAAAATGTTCTTAACCACCAGGCTGCAGAGGACCCCTGTAACAAGACACAGTACAAAATACCTCTGAGAAGAATAATGAATTCAAAAGTGTAACTGGAAGCACTTGATGCTTGAATCTGAAATGAGATTTGCTAATGAAAACAGCCATAGAAGCAGCAGCAGCTGAGAACAGGCTTGTGCCTCTCTCTCTGACCCCTTTTACATTCACTCCTATAGACTGCTAGAACCTCCTTCCCAATCTAGCCTCCTCCATATTACACAGCCTAACATGTATCAGGGGTTGCTATCATACAGATTTAGGGCTGAGGGACACTGGGACCAGATTTAGGCCCATACCAGTGAAATTGAAAGCAATGTGGCCAAAAGGTCTGTATTTAAAGATGATTGGAAAATAGAAATATAGAGGATGGAGAGAGAAACCCTGATTGTGGGTTGAGGCTCAGATCGTGATCAAGTCAATGAGGGAGCAGTGGGGAGGGAGGCAAGAAAGGCTTTGCTGCTGTCAGTTGGACATTCCATTCAACTGCCCCTGATGGGCATTCTAGTCCACTGAGCATGCCCAGTCTGTGACTGATTTTTCACCAAGTAGAACAATCAACAAGATCACCATAAAGACTTTATCAACATCAGACCAGTAAAGTGACCACTGAAACCCACTCCCCAATTTGTCATCAATGGACCCAAGCTTAGGGAGAGGAATCCCTTTGGTCTACAACAATGGTTTGAGTCCCAGTCTCTAACTTCTTCCTTCTCAAGTACACGGATCTCTACCAAAGGGACAATATTCGGGGAGATGCAGCCATTTTGCTGGTCAGCAGGAGAACAGGAACAAGAAAATGTCATAGTGGTGGAATACAACATCAGTCTCAACAGCAAACCCACCGCTGGAAGCTCCCAGATCATTGTGTCAACCAAGTGGAGGAGAGACTGTCATTTAGAGAACCTTATGTGAACCCTATACAGGAAACTTTCCAACTTGCTTCTTTGATTTTTCAGCCTTACTATTCTGATAATTAGGTGCTGTCTCTTAGAGAGCCTGAAACAGCCAAGACATGACTCACAGCATGGAGGAATCTGTAGGTAAGTGTCATCAGATCCTGATGAGTTATATGTCTGCTGTGTTTCGTGCCTGTGAATCATGGGTACATATGTCACTGTTGAGGGTCTGTACACTGAGAAGTTTTATAAATTGAAAGCTTAAGATTGTCTCACCTCTCCCTTTATCCCAAAATAATAAAAATATGCTAACTGTGAAGGACCAATAGTAGACTGGAAGCCTGAGAGATGCTTTGCCTCACCTCATTTTAATATGTAGTCTACCTCAGAAGAAAGTGCTACATATCAAAATAAGGCCATTCCTTGTTTAATTCTAAATACTAGATGAGTCCTTTGGAAATATTTTCCCCAGTTTTCCGGTATGACTGCCTGTCTGCTTTGCCAAGAGAACTGTTGTAAAATGGTGTCTTGTTAGATTTGGAGGTTCATGGGGAATCCCTAACTCCAAAAGCATCTGTTCTACCAACCTTCCATGTGACCTGAAAGTGCTCTATTTATTTGACTCACAAGTTTTTTATATCCTCTAGAATGCTTTTATTCTGAAACATATATTCCTGAAAAGTCCAAGTCAAAAACATTTAGGTCATTATCAGAAAGAGGCATAGTCTTGTAAACTGGAAACCTGACAGGCAGAGGAGGGTACATGAAGAGAGTATGCAAAAACAAAACGGGGCATGGGAAGGGTTTGTAGAGGAAGGAGGAGTAGAAATATAGTCAGGTATATTATACTGTTGCCTAAATAAGCTCAAGTAAGGAGTAAGGGATTCAGCTCACTGAGTCATAGCACCAAGCCTTGCTAGGGTAATGACCTGTATAATGGAGAAATAAATGGAAATTCAGCATCTTCTACCTTCCCTTCCACATTTAATTCAGATTTTAAAAAATTACTGAGCAGCTGCTGTTTTCAAGTATATAACAAATTTGAAATATTGTGACTAAAATGGAATTCCTGCCATCAAAGCACTAGCGGTCAAGAAGAGGGGTGGATGATACACGAACTTTCTATGACTATGGCAAAGTAATTAGCAGGCAGGCATTTTCACACATATATTAAGTCTTCTTTTTTATGCATTTTAGAAATGTTTGGAGATATTAACCTCACTCTTGGGATGCTGAATAAGGAAGATAATATTAGTAAGGTAGGACCAATAGAGAGCAATCTCTTTCCCATTCACTTTTTCTAGTCTAGTTGTTGCAGCATTTCATATGAGTACAACCTCCTTCACCTCAACTTCCCCATTTTTCTCTGGCTTCTTACATGGCATTGGATTCAGAAAATGCAGTTTTAATTGAAGTCACTATGTTTTTACAGTGATATGTAACACTTCCAGCTTCATAATATTCATTTATAGAAGTTAGCAAAACAGTGTCTTGTTTCATAATTTTCAATAGACAGATGTAAAAAGGGGGGATACTTCATGTAGATTATAGTTACAATCATGTAGATTAGAGCATTCTCTATAACTCAAGGGCTCCTACAAAAATCCTCAAAGTTCAACTATCCACAATGCTATTTCACAACTAGAAATTTATTTCTCTGAAAATTAAAAGCTTTTCCTAGGCTCAACAATCAAAATAATAAGACCACCCTTCATTGAACACTTACCTAGGAAGTACAGTGCTGTTTTCCAAAAATATAAAAATAAAAATACTGCATAATATCTATTCCTCATAATGACTTTATGGGGTATGGATTTGACAACTGAAAAATAAGACACAAAAGTTTCATGACTTACATGACTAAGAATAACAGTACCACATCCAAACACAGCCTTCCTGACTCCAGGAAAAAAAAATGGTCCTAATCATAAATGGCTAATGGTCCTAATCATAAGTGTTGCTTTCCTATGCCTGTACTTTTTCCTCGTAATTTTTCCTCCTAATTCAGTGAGTACTTTTTCCTCCTAATTCAGTGGTTCTCAACCTTGATTGCACATTGGAATCTCAGAAAACCCAATAATAACATTTGGCAAATATGAGGGGCAACCAAAATTTTCATATATATTGCTGATACATTTATAAACTATTTGGCAGCTTCTTAGAGATTTACCCAGAAGGGAAAAAACCTAAGTCCACAAAAATACTTGCGCAGAAGTGTTCACAGCACCTTTACTCATAATAGCCCCAAGTGGGAGACCGAAGGTCCACCCAATCACAGATACAGAAAAATTAGTCATGATAGTTTGTATAATTAAATGTTCATCTATAAACCTTGTTATTAATAGAGAAAGAACCTCTTAGAGATTATAGAAGGTAGCAATGGCCAGGCCCCACTGCCAGGAAATGCAGTTGAATAAATGTATGATGATCCTGAGAATTTAAAACTCATGGGGACAATTTTACATTTTAGGTACGTTTGAGAACTCCTACATTCAATTCATTGTAGGAATAAGCTTTCTCAGAGAACACTGTTCCTCAAACGTTGAGAATCACTTAGGGAATGATCTCTAGACCACAGAACCACTGAAGGAGAATGCCAGGGAAGGGATTAGTACTTCAGAAAGACTAAGAGGCTAATATGCCGCTAACATCCTGACAACCGGGTTCAAAGTGTAACTTCATGACTCAATACTGACCACATTAGGCTCTCTGTGTCTCAGTTCCCTTTTCTATTAAGTGAGGACATTAGTGGCACCTAACACAAAGGCTTGTTGTATACATCACTGAAATGTTCCAGATAAAGGGCCTGGCACAGTTCCAGGAACACGTAAGGACTTCATAAATGGAAGACTTGCCAAGAGAAAGATCTGCAGACAAAGTCCATGGAGCAACAGAAAGACTCCCAGAGACCATTAGACAGGGTCTGAAAGTAGCTACAAGGATAAAAGCAAAAGGTACATTATTCTCAAATTTTCCAAATACTAGCCCTGAGGACCAGTGCAGAAGAATTTATTTCATATATTAAATATGGTTGCAAAACCTGGAGGTACATGCTCAAGGCTGTGGGAGACACTAGTCTCTCATCTTCCAGGAGACACACGGCCACCTAAGAGTTTTAGAACAGCCCTCACATACGGCGTCTGATCAAGCCACACGTTTCACGCAGGCTGAAGCTCTGTCCAAAACAATTCACAACATTCTTTCCATGTAGGCATGAGTGCATCAAGAGCCTATAAATCTCCCTAAGAATTCACCTTCATAGCTTATCAGCATCTTTGGGAATCAGAGTATGTTCCCTAGTTCTATACTCATGCTCAGATAGTAAAAATAGGGATGATAGCGATCTACACTTCCATTCCCTTGAGTGTCCTGTAAGTGTTCTTGTCCTTAAGACTCTAATATGTTGACCACCTAGCCCCACCTTCACTTAGCTCTGGTCAAAGTAGTATAGCAAGTTAAAAATAGTTGTCAAAATTAACTTTGCTTTCTCTATATAAGCCTTTGACTCCTAAAGATGCCTATTGTGTTTAGAAGGCCTCAATTAAGATATATAAAATCCGTTGTGTATTAAAGGTACATTGCTTATTTTAATGGTGTAACTCATTTGGACCTCATCCAATTCCTTCACTTTTGCTGCTCAAATTTCTGTATAAACCTTTATATATTCACAGGAAGAAATTTACAGTCATCTCACTTCTGTTATTCAGAATACTGACATCTTAGATGATGCGATTGTCCAACGGTTGATTTATTATGCTTCAAAGGACATGAGAAACGACAATGTAGGTTTGGTTCTTGATGGTGAATCAGTGTCAGGGCTGACCCAACTGCACCACTGTGGACATACAAAAGCTTTTTCTACATCACCACCAAGACCATAAATCGCTATTATCGGTTCTTCACGGTAACTTGGATATGGTTATAGTGCCTGTTTTGACCCTTTCACAGATGCAGAAACTGAAAGGAAGCTAAGAAAGACTTCAGGGACAATTATCTAACCTCCCTTGAACTAAGGAAGTTGATGCTTAGAGAAATTTTTTGACATAACACAATTGGGTAAATTGTGTTATTGCCAAATGAGTAAATAAAACCCAATCTTCTTTGTTCTCATAGGACTTCTTAGCTCTTTAGGTGCCTACTTATCTTGAAGTGTCTGATACACATTGTAGCCAAAAAAATTTATCTGTAGAAATAATTTGAGTCAAATTTTTTTAAATTTTTTAAGAAAGAACTGGAGTTCTTAGATGATTTTATTTTCTTTCAGAAATAATTACTTGTTCCTGCCAAGGGCATTAATCACTTATAATCACTTTCAGGGGTTGGTATTTCTGGATGATTTCTATGATTCAATGCTAGGCTGTACTTCATTTGAGGACTGATCTAGCTTTTTACCCACATGCAGCCCTTTGGGGTCTTAGTCAAAAACATGTGAGATAGGATGACAAGGACCTTACCACTGGTCAGCCCTGAACTCTGATGACTGGCCCAAAATGATGGAAAGCAACCTCAAGGGCAGGCCTTTATATTTATAGATTCCTATTTTTTTTTTCAGATCTCAACTCAGTATTTCACTGCACTCAATATTGTGAGTTTGTTGGTCATTTTATGAGTATCTCACTTAATATCTTGTCCAGATATTTTTATTTATCCTCAGTAGGAGAATAGATCCATTACACCAAAAGCAGAATCCCCTTCCAATATCTCCAATATAAAAGATATTTAGATCAGGATAAACCAAAACTTAAGCTCTCAACTGCTAGTCCATTTCCTTTAACCACAGTAGTACATGTCACTCAAACATAAAACAAATCCTTTATTCATATTACCTGACCAATTAGCAGTGAAAGGTCTATTGACTCTCAGACTTGCAAGAACTATCAAAACAAGGGTTTTTTTTATTACCTTTAAATTACCTCTATTTTTCCAGCTATAGACAACCTATTCAATAGTCTTTTACCATGGTTTTACAAGAGCCAGTTCTCCTTCTATCCCAACTTATAATATTATGTAGAACAGTTTCTTCGACCGATGCACTTTAATTTTTCTCTGGCTGTGATGATTATTTTCCTTTTCTTCCTCAGATTCTCAGAGAAATCAGAATGCTAGCTGGTGAAGTTTTGGTGTCTCTTGCTGCACATGATTTCAACTCTGTGATGTACGAAGTACAAAGTAACTTCAGGATCCTAGAGCTACCAAATGAATTTGTTGTGCTTGCCTTGGCTGAACTTGCAACCAGTTATGGTATCAAGGACATAACTTTCCACATTTTCCATAGGAAATAACCAACTCTAGCTAATGGTCTACAACCCACATGGGAGCAAAGAGCAGAAGGAAGAGCATCTCTCCCTTCTTCTGTAGTAAAGAATGTTGGTAGATGGATGTGTGCAGCTACTTGTGTACTTACCTAAGCCTGATGGCCAGCTAATAGTTCATGCTGTGGTGAATTTGGCTGACTGTCTCCCACCCTCACCTTCTTATTCTTTCTGGCTTTGTGTTTGTAGAAGCACATTCTCCATAAGGCATATTCTGAAACCCACAGTACATGCATGTGGAGTAAATTTCTCCTACCCCTTATTTCTATAAGAACTTATTAAATAGACAATTATTGAGCACTTGTTATATATACTAAGGCCTTGAGGACACAGACAGGTTCAGTGGGAGAGACTGACTATAATAAAACCATTACCCAACTGAGCAATTACCACTCAACACTGGGTCCAGGAGGCCATGTGGCCAGTACTTGCTTGTTTCTCTAACTCTTTGATTCTCTAATCACAGCTTGGCATTAAGGTGAGAGAAGGGGAAAGAGAAGAGCATCTTCTTACTGCCCTTCATCTGCTTCCTCCATGCTACTCTGAAATGTTTGTTGTTGTGATGGGGAGTCACAGGACCCCAGAGGGAGAAGATCACTAGTGCCTTTCTCCTCTCTGTGCTTCCAACTGCAGTGTCCCAGAGCATTCCCTTCATGATGATGACCCTGCTTACCATGCAGACCATGCTCAGGCTGGCCGAGGATGAAAAGATGAAGCAAACGTTCTGTATCGGTAGGTAATCCCGAGTCCATCTAGGCTTAACACCAGACTACACGCTGTCTTACACATTGAGCAGAAGCCTTATTTTTCCTTTTACTCCAGTTTTGTCCTTTGTAATAAAAATAGCTACCCTCTATTGAGTGCCTACCACCTGGAAGACCCTCCTCAGGAAGTTATCTCACTCAAGCTCCCCAGCAGTTCTGCAAGGTAAATGCTATCATCCCATTTTACAGATGAGCAACTGAGGAGCATGAAAACTGGTAATTTTCACAGTGTGGTGACATAATCAATGAGATATAGAGGTGACCTTCCAACCCAGGTCTCTATGACCACTCAGTCTATATTCTTTCCACTGCTCTATATAGCCTCCAAACTCTACTAGTCTCCTTATTTAACTGGATCATAGTTTCTCTGCAATGACTATGAGAACCTACCAACACTTGGCGGTAAGCTTAATTTTGGTAATTTTGCAATATTACAATAATAAATAAAGAAGTTAACCAAAACTCAATCATAAGATGAAAGAAAATAGTCAAACAAAGTATTGTTACAAATCTCCTCTACCCAAAACTGAAAACATCTACAATAATCAAGCGTTTGCAGAGAAGAATGTGCCCTGAGATTCCTAGGGAAACACACCTGCAGTTTTGAGGGAGGCTTCACTGCTGAGTCCAGAGACCTGGATGCTTGTCTTCTCAGCCACCAAGCCAATAGGTGGCCCTGTGCTTCTCTTAGCTCCAGTGTCATCCTTAAAGGTATCAAAAGTGATTGCTAAGATCCCTTCTACTTTTACCCTAACATTGTTATATTTTGTAATATATAAAAGAAATGTCTTCTTTACCCCTCAGCCAAACCTCATCTATTTTTCCCATTTTCCCTTTCTATCTTCAATGAAGGCAGCATTTTATTTGTATACATTGAGAATTTACTATGTGCCTGGAAACTGCCTTGGGTATTTTAAGATCATCATTTCATTTAACCCTTACAACAACTCTATTATGTTGGCAATGTTTTACCATTCTACAAATGACCAAAAAAAATGATGCTTAAAAAGGTTAGATAGCCTATTTCAGGTCAGCCAGCTAGTATGTGACCAAGTCAAGATAATTATGAAAGTCTGACTTAAGGACCTGAGCAACTACACTAGATTTCACTTTTCAGTACTTCTGACTATCTCTAAATACCATCACAGCTTACACTTTGTTCCTACAAATAAACTTTGGAGCCTATAATAGAACCTTACCTCCCATGTTAATAACCAAGAACTTAAAACTAGGAAATCACCATGGCAATTAATAGAGGAAGTTTCTGTATTTGTGTTATAAGATTATTTAAGTGACCCCTTTATGCTAAAGCAACTTTTGACCCAATTGCCACTAAAGATTTAATATTTAATAGCCACTCATCCACTCCTAACTAGTTAATCAGCAAATAAAAACTCATGCTATCTACATTGGATACCAAAGACAAGATACCATTCCTTCTCTTGTGCTTATAGGCCAGTGGGACAAATACACACAGAGGCAAACATACACATAATATTATCATAAAGTATAGCAGGAGATTCTCAAAGAAATCAGAAAAAGCCTGGGTAAAATCTGAATAAGCCAGTAAACAACCAGTTCTAAAGCTAGAAACTCAGGGTCTAGGCTGGCGCCACGGCTCAACAGGCTAATCCTCTGCCTGCAATGCCAGCACACAGGGTTCTAGTCCCGGTCAGGGCGCCAGATTCTGTCCCGGTTGCTCCTCTTCCAGTCCAGCTCTCTACTGTGGCCCAGGAGTGCAGTGGAGGATGGCCCAAGTGCTTGGGCCCTGCACCCACATGGGAAACCAGGAAAAGCACCTGGCTCCTGGCTTCAGATCAGCGCAGTGCACAGGCCGCAGTGCGCTGGCCATAGTGGCCATTCAGGGGTGAACCAACAGAAAAAAGGAAGACCTTTCTCTCTGTCTCTCTCTCTCTCACTGTCCACTCTGCCTGACAAAAATAAATAAATAAATAAATAAATAATAAAAATAAAAAAATAAAGAAACTCAGGGTCTTTTCCAGACATTCACTTACTATGCGATATCCTCTAAGGCAATGAAATATGAAATGTCTTTATCATCCCATGAAATGGGTAGCATGAGGTTTAAAGAAAAAAATATTTTTGATGCATTTGATTCAAATATATGTCAATTAATGGCTCAAGTGGTATTTTAACAGGTCCAATATTTTTTATTGAAGTAAAACAGAGACAAAGAAAAGCATACAGAACAAAAGTATAGATGTTGATGAGCTACTACAAAGTTTCCACGGGGCCACCACTCAGCTAAAGATTTGAGGCATTACTAGTTGCTAGAAGGTCTCCATCCCTTGTGTTTCCTCCCAACAAGGGCCACAGTTCTGACTTTTGATACCACTGGTTTCATGTGTTAGTGAGGTTTGCACATAATGTTCTCTAGCTGCAGTCCATTTTCATTTATATAACCTATTACTTGTCTATACTATATTTTAAATTCTACTTATTAGCAGATAATTGGGTTATTTTATGTTTGAGGCTGTTACCACAAAAAAAAGGCTAATGTAAACATTCTTGCACAAGATTTTGGTGTCTATCTATATGCCTATCTATATATATCTATATATGCCTATCTAATGTCTATTTACCTAAGGCTAGAATTGTTGGGTCATATAGAACACACATTCAACTTTATTAGGTCATATCAAAGAGTTGTCCAAAGTGTTTATACAAATTCAGCTACCACAGGAAGTATGTAAGAGTATCAACTCCACCTTAGTCTTGTCAACCATTGGCATTAACTAAGTCTTAGTCATTCTGGATGGTATATGTTAGTAGCTCATTATATAGTTTCTTTTAAAGATTTATTTAAAGGCAGAGCTACAGAGAGGCAGACAGAGGTCTTCCAGCTGCTGGTTCACTCTCCAGATGGCCACAATGGTTGGAGCTAGGCCATTCTGAAGACAGGAGCCTAAAGCTTCTTCCAGGTCTCCCACTTGGGTGCAAGGCCCCCTTGGGAAATCTTCTGCTGCTTTCCCAGGCCATAGCAAAGAGCTGGAACCAAAGTGGAGTAGCCAGGACTCAAACCAGTGCCCATAGGTGATTAAAGCACTGCAGGCCACAGCTTTACCCACTATGTCACAGCATCAGCCCCTCATTTATAGTTTTAACTTGCATTTCACCAATGTGGCTGTACACTTTTTATATATTTGGTATAGTCATATTGTTGTACAGAAACTAGTAAATGTTTGCTAATCATCAGTTTTCTTGTTTCAAATTATTATATAGTTCTTCTCATCTTTGTATTTTTTTCTTAGTCTGTGGTTGTGTTTTTTAAATGCAGCCCTGGAGAAGTTCAGCAAAGCCATTTACAAGTATGTCAACCACTGGAGAGATTTCCCCTATCCCAGATTGGATGCCAACCGACTATCTGACAAGATCTTCATGCTGTTCCAGTACATAATGGAGAAATGGGCCCCCATAGCATCACCCACGCATGTGAGTGGATCATCAGGATGCCTCAAGCCATATCCTCCTCTATGCTGCCTGGAATTTCTCTTCTTTTAATGATATAATTAAGCTCAGTTCTTTTAGACACTATTAATTGTGTTTTATGAAGTTCATCAGATCTTTCTTTTTTCCCATGTCATTCATTCTTTCAACTATTACTTATTGAATCCTCATGACATGTCAGAAACTGTTATAGGTGTTAGGAGACAACAGGGATTAAACAGACTAATATCCCCTCACTCATAAAATTGATGTTTCAACATGTAGAAAGAAAAAGAAAAAATGAATCAACCATTTTTGAGCTGAGTCATTCACTAGGCACAAATTTCTTGTCTATGAATATCACAGTTAATAAAATAACATCTAAATAATGTGTTTAGCTGCATCACAATACTGCAACGCCTTAGGAAAAAAATGATTGCAAAGTCCAATCACATATATAATCCAATTTTTAGCTTGTTTAATGGCTGCAATTTTTTAAAAGTAGGATAAACTACATCCCATTTAGATTTTTTATTGCTGTATTATAAAAGGTTTAAGACTTAGCTGTCTTCTCTAGTTCAGTTTTTTTTCGCACTTTGAGCTGCTAAATACTGGGGTGGTCAAATTATTAGCAAACATGAAACTGTAAGATATCATACAGAAGACTTTTCTGCAAGTCACATGGGAAACAAAATTTAGTGCATTCATTCCATGACTACTCTCCTTGCTTCCCATAGGAAGAGCCAGAGAAGTGATCAAGAAGTTAGACATAGTGATAAGGGAGTTCAGAGAGGGAAGCACTCTGGCACTCTGACAGAGTTCAGAGAGGGAAGTGCTGGCAAGGCTGGGGTTGCTAACCACAGAGAAGGTGCATTCCCTAAAGGAGGGATTAATCCCTACGGGGACCGATTTGATATGGGATACCATGCACACTTGTCTGAGTGTGATGGGCTAGGCAAAGAGCACAGAGGAAAGGTGACATCAGGTGTGAAGCAATGAAACCAGAAAGGTTGAGACCTTTTGTTCTATGAAATACCCAACACCTATTTCGTCTCACCTTTTCAAAAAAAATTAATACTCATGGCTCTCCAGTTCTTTCCATTTTGTATCTCCATTATCCTCTAACTTTCCTCTTATGAGATTTTAAGGATTTGAGAACCAGAAAACTTGCTCCGATGTCAACATTAAAAATGGATCAGGCACAGGGGTGGATGAAGACAAGAATATCAAGAGGCCATAGATGTATTCCAGGTCATTAATATAAGGGGGTTAATTAATATAGTATCTGTAGTGCTGATCAGAGAAACCAGATGCTGAAGAATAGAACAAACTGGACTTGCCATCGATTGGAAGTTTAAAATGAGGGAAAGGGAGGCACCTGCGGTGACGCCTACATTTCAGATTGAGTGATATTAGGGCCATTAATCAAGAGGAGAAAAACAGGAGAAATATCAATCTTGTGAAAATGCAAAATGGATATTGTTAACGTGGATATTTTGATAAGAATGCCCATGTTACTTTAAGTGGAGATATTAGTCAGTTTGGGAATGTTCATGATTAGTAAAGAAAAAAAAGCTGCATGCATACATTTGGGCACCACCACTATGTAACAAATAAGCTCAAAGTATATACTAGAAAATATCTTTGGGAAAATGTCAGGGCAAAGTTACTACTTATCAATAGTCACATTGAACGTTAATAGCCTCAACTCTCCAGTTAAAAGACACAGACTGGCTGAATGGATTAAGGAACAAAACCCATCTATTTGCTGCCTACAAGAAACACATCTTTCCAACAAAGATGCATGCAGACTGAAAGAAAGGTTGGAAAAGGATATCCCATGCCAACAGAAACCAAAAAAAGCACGTGTAGCCATATTAATATCAGACAAAATAAATTTAACATTAAACAGTTAAGAGATACAAAGAGGGGCACTATATAATGATTAAGGGATCAATTCAACAGGAAGATGTAACTATTATAAATGTATATGCACCTAATTACAGGACACCAGTTTATTTAAAAGGTATGTTAAGGGACTTAAAGGAAGACTTAGATTCCAATACAATAGTACTGGGGGGCACTTCAATACTCCACTCTCAGAAATAGACACATCAACAGCACAGAAGATCAACAAGGAAACAGAAGATTTAATCGAGACTATTGCCCAAATGGATCTAATAGATATCTACAGAACTTTCAATCCTACATTCTTTCTTCTTAGAAGTGCATGGAACCTTCTCTAGGATTGACCACATACTAAGCCATAAAGCAAGTCTCAGCAAATTCAAAACAATTAGATTTATACCATGCAGCTTCTCAGACCACAGCAGAATGAAGGTGGAAATTAGCAACTCAGGAATCCCTAGAGAGTATGCAAACTCATGGAGATTGAACAACATGCTCCTGAAGGAACACTGGGTCATAGAAGAAATCAAAAGAGAAATCAAAAACTTTCTGGAAGTAAATGAGGATAACAACACAACATACCAAAACTTATGGGATATGGCAAAAGCAGTGTTGAGAGGAAAGTTTATAGCAATAGGTGCCTGCATCAAGAAATTGGAAAGGCACCAAACAAATGAGCTTTCAATGCATCTCAAGGCTAGAAAAACTGCAGCAAACCAGACCCAAATCTAGTAGGAGAAGAGAATTAAAATCATAGAAGAAATCATCAGGACTGAATCCAAAACATTACAAAAAATCAGCCAAACAAAGAGCTGGTTCTTTTTTTTGAAAAAATGAATAAAATTCACACACCATTGGCCCAACTAACTAAAAAAAGAGAAAAGACTCAAATCAATAAAATCAGAGATGAAAAAGGAAATGTAACAACAGACACCACAGAAATGAAAAAGAATCATCAGAAATTACTACGAGGACTTGTATACCAGCAAACAGGGAAATCTATCAGAAATGGATAGATTCCTGGACACAGGCAACCTACCTAAATTGAACCATGAAGACATAGAAAACCTAAATAGACCCATAACTGAGACAGAAATTGAAACAGTAATAAAGGCCCTCCCAACAAAGAAAAGCCCAAGACCAGATGGATTCACTGCTGCATTCTACCAGACATTTAAAGAAGAACTAACTCCAATTCTCCTCAAAATATTCAGAACAATCGAAAAAGAGGGAATCCTCCCAAATTCTTTCTGTGAAGCCAGCATCACCTTAATTCCTAAGCCGGAAAAAGATGCAGCATTGAAAGAAAATTACCGGCCTGCACCGCGGCTCACAAGGCTAATCCTCTGCCTTGCGGCACCGGCACACGGGTTCTAGTCCCGGTCGGGGCGCCGGATTCTGGCCCAGTTGCCCCTCTTCCAGGCCAGCTCTCTGCTGTGGCCAGGGAGTGCAGTGGAGGATGGCCCAAGTACTTGGGCTCTGCACCCCATGGGAGACCAGGATAAGTACCTGGCTCCTGCCATCAGATCAGCGCGGTGCACCGGCCACAGTGCGCCGGCCACAGCGGCCATTGGCGGGTGAACCAACGGCAAAGGAAGACCTTTAAAAATAAAAAAAAATAAAAAAAGAAAGAAAATTACCAATATCCCTAATGAACATAGACGCAAAAATCCTCAATAAAATTCTCGCCAATAGAATGCAACAACACATCAGAAAAATCATCCACCCAGACCAAGTGGGATTTATCCCTGGTATGCAGGGATGGTTCAATGTTCGCAAATCAATCAATGTAATACACCACATTAACAAACTGCAGAAGAAAAACCATATGATTATCTCAAAAGATGCAGAGAAAGCATTCGATAAAATTCAACACCCTTTCATGATGAAAACTCTAAGCAAATTGGGTATAAAAGAAACATTCCTCAATACAATCAAAGCAATCTATGAAAAAACTATGGCCAGCATCCTATTGAATGGGGAAAAGTTGAAAGCATTTCCCATGAGATCTGGTACCAGACAGGGATGCCCACTCTCACCACTGCTATTCAATATAGTACTGGAAGTTTTAGCCAGAGCCATCAGGCAAGAAAAAGAAATTAAAGGGATACAAATTGGGAAGGAAGAACTCAAACTATCCCTTTTTGCAGATGATATGATTCTTTATTTAGGCGACCCAAAGAACTCTACTAAGAGACTATTGGAACTCATAGAAGAGTTTGGAAAAGTAGCAGGATATAAAATCAATGCACAAAAAACAACAGCCTTTGTAAACACAGGCAATTCCTCAGCTGAGAAAGGAATTCTAAGATCCATCCCATTCACAATAGCCACAAAAACAATCAAATACCTTGGAATAAACTTCACCAAGGACGTTAAAGATCTCTACAATGAGAATTACAAAACCTTAAAGAAAGAAATAGAAGAGGATACGAAAAAATGGAAAAATCTTCCATGCTCATGGATTGGAAGAATCAACATCATCAAAACGTCCATTCTCCCAAAAGCAATTTACAGATTCAATGCGATACCAATCAAGATACCAAAGACATTCTTCTCAGTTCTGGAAAAAATGATGCTGAAATTCATATGGAGACGCAGGAGACCTCGAATAGCTAAAGCAATCTTGTACAACAAAAACAAAGCACGAAGCATCACAATACCAGATTTCAGGACATACTACAGGGCAGTTGTTATCAAAACAGCATGGTACTGGTACAGAAACAGATGGATAGACCAATGGAACAGAATAGAAACACCAGAAATCAACCCAAACATCTACAGCCAACTTATATTTGATCAAGGATCTAAAACCAATTCCTGGAGCAAGGACAGTCTATTCAATAAATGGTGCTGGGAAAACTGGATTTCCATGTGCAGAATCATGAAGCAAGACCCATACCTTACACCTTACACAAAAATCCATTCAAGATGGATTAAAGACCTAAATCTACAACCTGACACCATCAAAAAAATAAAACAAAGAAATCAATGGTTTTGATTCCTTGGAGTTCTTCAAGGAGCATGTGTAGAGTAGGAGTATGCATAAATAGAGTTCCGCTGGCATCAATGTTAAGGGGAAGCAAAGGGAAAACTTAAGATGGACAATGTGCAGTAGACTGCTGAGGGAGGAGTGTCAGACAGAATGAGATTTTAGAACCTAGGAAAGAAGAAATTTTTTAACAAAGATCTACAAAGTCCTTTGTTATAAATCTCAAGTGAGAAAATTCCATTGCCTGGAAATGGGTGATAGCTACCTAGCTGATAACACAGTCTTAAGTGTAAGTGGCTGTTGTAATCAGTCACTAAGTTTTCAGGTGGTTTGCTGCACAAGAAAATTTAACTGATACAAAAATTTCACCATTCACATTAGCTTAAAAAAACTATATACACAATTATATATTAATGATACTTATGTTTTTTTTTATTTTATTTATTTTTTTATTTTTGACAGGCAGAGTGGACAGTGAGAGAGAGAGACAGAGAGAAAGGCCTTCCTTTGCCGTTGGTTCACCCTCCAATGGCCGCCACGGCCGGCGCGCTGCGGCCGGCGCACCGCGCTGATCCGATGGCAGGAGCCAGGAGCCAGGTGCTTTTCCTGGTCTCCCATGGGGTGCAGGGCCCAAGCACCTGGGCCATCCTCCACTGCACTCCCTGGCCACAGCAGAGGGCTGGCTTGGAAGAGGTGCAACCGGGACAGAATCCGGCGCCCCGACCAGGACTAGAACCCGGTGTGCCAGCGCCGCTAGGCGGAGGATTAGCCTAGTGAGCCGCGGCGCCGGCCTGATACTTATGTTCTGAGAAATGTGTTGGTACACAATTTTTTTGCATAAATATAGATTGTACTTACATAACCTAAAACAGCTACAATATCACTAGATGATATACTCTTGTAGGACAGCCATGTATTTGCAATTCTTTATTGACTGAAACATTACTGTGAGTACATTATTAAAGATGGTGTTTGGGTAGGTGTTGCGGTACAACAGGTTAATCTCCCACTTAGAATGCCTGAACCCATATCCAGTGTCCACATCTAAGCTCCACATCTGATCCAGCTTTCCTTTTTTTAAAGATTTATTTATTAATTTTAGAGATAGAGAGAGAGACAAAGAAAAAGGTCTTCCATCAGCTGGTCCACTCCCCAAATGGCCTCAATAGCAGTATCTCTGAAGCCAGGAGCTTCTTCTGGGTCTCCCACGTGGGTGAAGGGGCCCAAGGAGTTGGGCCATCTTCCACTGCCTTCCAAGGCCATAGCAGAGAGCTGGATTGGAGGAGGAGCAGTTGGGATTCGAACCAGGGATTGTACGGGATACTGGCATCACAGGCAGAGGCTTAGCCCACAATGCCACAGTGCTGGCCCCTCTGATCCAGCTTTCTGCTAATGCACTTCCAGAAATTCAACAAGTGATGGCTCAAATACTTGGGCCCCAACTATCCAAGTGGTAGACCTAGATAGAGTTCCTGGCTGCTTGCTTTGGCCTGGCCCAAGCCAGCTGCTACAGGCATTTGGGGAGTAAATCAGCTAATAGAAGATCTCTCTCACTCACTCACTCTCCATTTCAAATAACTTTTTTAAAGATGCATTTATTTATTTGAAAGAGTTACAGAGAGGAGAGGCAGAGAGAGAGGCAGAGAGAGACAGAGAGGACTTCCATCCAATGGTTCACTCCCCAGATGGCTGCAACGGCTAGAGCTGGGCCCATCCGAAGCCAGGAGTTTCTTCCAGGTGTCCCACATGGGTGCAGGGGCCCAAGGACTTGGGCCATCTTCCACTGCTTTCCTAGGCCATTGCAGAGAGCTGGATAGGAAATGGAGCAGCCCACATGGGATGCGGTGCTTCAGGCTAGGGCGTTAACCCACTGCACCACAGCACCAGCCCCTCAAATAAATTTTAAAATGATGTTTTCAGTGGAGTCAAATTTTAATTAAAATGGATAAGAAATAAGTCAATTAAGTACATATTTTTATTTTATTTTTTATTTTTGACAGGCAGAGTGGACAGTGAGAGAGAGAGAAAGGTCTTCCTTTGCCGTTGGTTCACCCTCCAATGGCCACTGCGGCCTGCGTGCTGCGGCTGGTGCATCGTACTGATCTGAAGGCAGAAGCCAGGTGCTTCTCCTGGTCTCCCATGTGGGTGCAAGGCCCAAGCACTTGGGCCATCCTCCACTGCACTCCCGGGCCACAGCAGAGAGCTGGACTGAAAGAGGGGCAACCGGGACAGAATCCGGCACCCCGACCAGGACTAGAAACCGGGGTGCCGGCGCTGCAAGGCGGAGGATTAGCTTACTGAGCCACAGCGCTGGCCAATTAAGTACATATTAAAATATATCAGACAGTGTTTATCTGTAGATAGAGTACTGTGCATACTGTTTTCTTCATATTTGTGATTTCTAAATTTTTTTTCTAGTGGCAGACAAGAAATCTCCCATTCACTAGCTCTTTCTCCAAATGCCCACAGTGGCAGGACTGGGGCAGGCAAAATCCAGGAACCAGCAATTGGGCAGAAGGAACTCAGTTACTGAACAATCACCTGCTGCCTCCCAGCGTCTGCCTGATCAGGAAGCTGGAATTGGTAGCCAGAGCTGGGATTGTAACCCAGGCACTGCAAAATGAAATTGGGGCATCTTAGGTGCTAATCCAGATGACTGCCCAATTTCTAAATTTTTTGTATTCTGTGTTCATTACATTTCTATTTTATACTCGAAGTTATTTTTTACACCAAGTAGAAGCCAGAGGCGGATACCTACAGCTCCTGGTACTGAGAAATGTGTAAAAAGCACAGCAAAGTCTCAGACATGGTATTCGCTTGTTGCCTCTACAGATTTTGGCCATCGTTAAGGCACATGGCCCCACAGTGAGCTTGCTGCTGCACCGAGAAGACACCTATGAGTACGCCCTGAGCCAGGTACCCTGGCTCCTCACCCAGTATAAAGACAAAGAGATTGATTTCCATGTCACTCAGGTAAGATACATCAGAGATGCATCCTGCAAATCTCCTGGGGGATGGTGCATCTCCAGAGGGTCTTTTGGGGAATGTGGGGGAGCGAAGAAGGTGTTCTAGCTGGATGATGGGACATCATACAGGAAGGGAAGAAGAATTTACAGTCCAAGCTGCTGAGACACTAATAAACAGAGGAGCCATAATCAAAGAAAACTCGGCCCTGCAGGAGGTCACGGGTTTGTTCTCACAGAACTTTTCACCTTCCACATCCCATGCTGCTGCTTCATTTGCAGCCTCCAACTCATCTCTGAGCACTTCCCTTCTAGAGTCTAAAGCAAATATTGACAGCGGCTGTCCTTTACGACACTGGCCTTCCAAGGAACTTGAGAAAATCCATCTTTATCAGTTTACTCCACCAGGTGAGAAGACCCTGCTTTCCAATCCGATTGTTTAACTTTCACCGGTGTCCTGCTTTTAATATTTCCCTCCTTTTTGCCTCCCCACTCAGATCTGCAGAGTTCCAAAGCCTCCAGTAAAAGAAAATGAAATTGAAGCTTCCAGCTGTTTCCTCATTCTAGGTAGGACCCGGCATCCAAGTGGCTTTAAAAAAAAAAAAAAAAAACCACCTCCCCCGATGATGCTGACAATGGTAAAGGCTGTGCAGCCTATCACAGTTGCTATGTGGACACTCACAATATTTCTCCAGATCACAGTATTGTGTGCCTGTCTCTTTACCCCGCCCTCCCCAAGAGAGCAGGAACAGTGACCAATCATGCCTGAGTGCCCAGGACCAGTGGGTTCCAGGGAAGTAGGATTTTTCTCCAGTTAAAAGAATTTCATCCAGCTAAAAGGCCCATGAGAGTTTTGCAGGCATGGAAAGCCAAGACATTGTGGGGGGAAAAAAAAGATCTAAATGAAAGATGAAAGATCTCAGTGAGATCCAGTGGAAAGAATGGGCCATCAAAGAAGGAGGTACCTTTCTCTGAAGGGAGGAGAGAACTTCCACTTTGACGATGGCCTTGTCTAAATAATATTGGAGTTGTCGAACTCAGGAGGATTCCATAGCCTTGGCAGCTCATGACAAGAGCCTCAGGTGATTACTGAGGCCATTAACAAGAGTGTCAATTGTTAAATCAACAGGAGTCGCTGTGCACTTACTCCCCATGTAGGATCTGTCCATAATGTGTTATACTATGTGAATTAATGGTAAAACTAGTCTCCAAACAGTACTTTATACATTGTGTGTCTGTGTGGGTGCAAACTATTGAAATTTTTACTTGGCATATACTAAGTTGGTCTTCTGTATATAAAGATAATTGAAAATGCATCTTGATGTAAATGGGACGGGAGAGGGAATGGGAAGATGGGATTGTTGCAGGTGGGAGGGAAGGTATGGGGGGAAAAGCCACTATAATCCAAAATTTGTACTTTTGAAATTTATCTTTCTTAAATAAAGTTTAAAAAAAAATCCCAGAAAGGCAGGCTGGGTTGGTAACCATGAAAACAGGAAATTGCTTTTTCTTTTCTTTTCAGTAGGTGAAATAATGTGAAAATGTATCAAATCCAGTCACCTTTTCCTGTCCTTAGTCATTTTTTATCTATGTCTCTTTAGACACCAGTCTCCCTCTTTGTTTTCTTCCTGCCTTGACATAACAACCCACTCTATCACCCGGATAGAAGACCTGACAGCAGCAGTATAAAAGCCAGTGAGGTCCCAGATCAGGATACTAAAGCATGGTGCAGTTTAATCCTGGAGAACAAGAAACACAGTACTTGGCACACCTCCACTCTCCCCTAGGCACCCAAGTCTCCTCTGCTACCCCACTGTGTACCTTTCTGTTATGTTCCACTTCGCCCCTTGCGGGCTCCTCTATCTCCACACTTTGTTTTCTCCTCTTCCTCCTCCTACCCCCCCCCCACCCCAATTAAGCAACTCACTTTATCTGAGAGCTTCTGAAAAAGAGTGCTGGCCTCCCGCTAGGCGCCTCTTCACTCTTCCCTGCTTCCCGGCAGCTCTTCCATCGCAGCTTGCCGGTCCCCAGCCAGTCTGCCTCCGTCTTCACAGGGTGTTCTCACTGAGCCTCTGCCTGTGGCTCTTCTCTTTTCTGAGAAGAGCTCCAGCCATAGTTAACTATGGCCTACTCTAATGACTTCTCTCAACTTGGTTACATCCACAAGACCCTACTTTTCAAAGGAGGTCACATTCACAGGTAGGAGGTATGCAAACCTCTCTTCACGACCAAACTGCTTAATTTATGCTGTGACACGGAACATCATGACACCAAATTTCTAGTTAGAGTGACTTTTGACAAGGTCACAATAAGATGCCTCTCTTTCCACTCATAAGCGCTTTCCCTGAGATCAGAGTGCTTACAAAACCATTATTTCTTAAACCTGCAGCCCACTCCAACCCTGCAGACCTCGTGGAATTTTTTGATGAACAAATAAGAAGTAATAACGAAGTCATACGACTGGGAGTCCTGACTCTGTTAAGATCAGCTATCAATGCAGAAGGTAGGCAGCAGGGATTGAAGCCAGAGTGGTTGATTTCATATCAAAAGTGAACTAAAGCGTCTGCATATCTAATCCCATCCAACACCCTTCAGATTTTTACCTGACACCATGTGCAAGTGCAACTGTCTTCTCAGTCTTCTCCAATCTCCTACATTTAAACCACCACTTTTATTTACCTCTCAGCTTTTGTGACACCTAAGGGTACACCCAGATGAGAAGGATGAGTAGAACTGAGAATCAACTTTAGGGGCCGGCACTGTGGCGCAGTGGATTAACGCCCTGGCCTGCAGTGCCAGCATCCCATGTGGGCACCAGTTCTAGTCCCGGCTGCTCCTCTTCCTATCCAGCTCTCTGCTATGGACTGGGAAAGCGGTGGAGGATGGCCCAAGTCCTTGGGCCCCTGCACCCACATGGGAGACCTGGGGGAAGCTCCTGGCTTCAGATTGGCGCAGCTCTGGCCGTTGCAGCCATCTAGGGAGCGAACCATCAGACTGAAGACTTCTTTCTCTTTCTCTCTCTCTCTCTCTCTCTCTCTCTCTCTCTCTCTCTGCCTCTCCTCTCCCTGTGTATCTCTTTCAAATAAATAAATAAATCTTTAAAAAAATCAACTTTAAAATTTAGAAGATCCAGTTGGTTGGTGAAGTGGCCTAATATTCAAGAGGTGGATGGGAGAAGTGTGCAATTCTCCAGAAACCGGTACATTTAGAAAAGAGTAGGATTTAATGAATTATTTGTTTTATTGGTTCCAGCAAGCATATATTTTTTTTTGACAAGCAAAGTTAGACAGTGAGAGAGACAGAAAGGTCTTCCTTCCATTGGTTCACCCCCTAAATGGCCACTATGGCCGGCGCACTGTGCCGATCCGAAGCCAGGAGCCAGGTGCTTCCTCCTGGTCTCCCATGTGGGTGCAGGGCCCAAGGACTTGGGCCATCCTCCACTGCCTTCCCAGGCCACAGCAGAGAGCTGGACTGGAAGAGGAGCAACCGGGACAGAATCCCCTGGTGCCCCAACCAGGACTAGAACACGGGGTACTGGAGCCGGAGCCGCAGTGCCGGTCCAACCATATATTCTTAAAATACTGAATGCTTCTTACTATTAATAGCATATTTAATTATAATTGGCCACTTTTTTCATGAAATATAAAATGCTGTATCATAAAATTGGTATCTTAGATTCAATAATATAAAAATTCATTTTTGTATGGCATGATAGTTTTTAAAAATCCAGTTAGCACTTTGATTCACTCAAGAATCAGCTTATAAGAAATATGAAGCAGTGTCACAAAATTTAGAATCAATCTCTTGGATATGATGTATTGAAGCCACTATGGAACGTAATGTGTTAAGCAAGATGAAATAAATACGATTGGAAACAAAGAAGCAAGGGACATCTTTAAGGAGTGGGGAGAGGAATCAGGAGGGGATTAAATAACAAAATATTAAGTACAAGAAATTTGTGTCCCAGAAGTGTATTTATGAAAGCCATAAAGTTTATATACCTTAAATTAAAGTTTCTGGGAAAAAAATGTACAGGAGATCTTGTGATTATAAGCCATAAATTCTAAAAGGTGTTCATTAACCCTAAAACATATTTTCCCACTGAGTTGGGCCTCTCAGTTCCTCCCTCTGTCTTTCAGAGCCCAAGCTGAGAGATCACATCATTTCAATTGAAAAAATGGTCAGAGTCATCATGGGTGACCTCAGTAAAAAAGTAAGACAATGAACACTTTTATTTCATTACTGGTAGTTTTAAGAATGAATGAAATGATTGACACTTTAAGGATCTATGAGACTGCTTTATAAAGAACTAGTAATCAATCTTTCCAGAAAAGAAACTATATCAAGGTAGAGTCCTGAAGTACACACAGCACAAGAGCTTCTCTTTGAAGAAAAGACTTCTTCCAGAGCATCACTATGCTCTTCAGATAATTTAAGATGTAGTTGTTAATTATGAAGAGAATGTGTCTTCCTCCAAACTCTAATAACCTTGGAATAGATATTCTGTTTTTCCACCAGGGAGCACCTATAGCAAGTCTTGCACATAGCTGATTAAACAAATAATCAGGAAATATTGAATAAAGTATTCCATGTTAGGGGAGGCAGAACTTAACACTGGTACAAATCAAGAAAAATGAGCAATTAGTGTATTTCTTGTATGAAAATGGCACTTTGTATAGAAAGAAATCCTATACAGAAGTCAATGAAGATGAAAATCCTCTCAGTTTGGTCACAGTGACTATGCTTAAAAACATTTAAGTTTTGTAATAAATAACAGTGAGTGATTATATATATATAAACCTGGCCCAACAGCAGACCAAGTCAACAACAAAAAAAAATTCAATTAAAAAAGACTTTAACATGGAAGCAAAGAGCACAGCTGTTCTAAGCAAGGCCAGGTCTCCAGGCAGAATACAGAGGCTTACCTCTTCACCCCTGCCTTGGAAGACTATCATGTAATTTTTATGCTTGGGCCACCATACAGCCCTGATTTTCTGCTCAAAGTATTCTTTTCCACTCCCATTAAAACATACATTCACTAAGGGATTCAATTTTATCTTTGTATTCTCCAGAGAAGCAATCTAGTAAATAAATATAACAACATTTTTAAAAATATGATACAAGTTCATAATTCGTGGGGCCATATATATTCTAAAATTCTCAGTTTTTCCTGAGTGACAGTAACCCACAATCTAAATTCATTAATATTTCTTCAAGAAAATGCATACATATCCATACTACACAGGATAAACAAAGACTGCTAATAGCTATACAAGAGTTCAGTTAGGGTTTTGACACCAAATGAATCAGCACCAAATTTAATAAACAAAATTCCAGTTTAGAACTGCTTGGACTTTGAAATTGAGTAACTAATTATGCTTGGCCCAGCAATCGATTGTGCTTTTACAGAGTATTTTATAAGTGAGACACTGTTTTCAGCAGCTCCAAATGACCAACATGTCATAATAAATAGTAACAGAAGCTATGTGCTGGGAGCTGAGGAGAAAGACCTGGTTACAGAGAACATTTTCAGGGTTTCTTAAAACATAAACTACAGGTCACTTCCAGCACCGTCTATTTATTGAGGCATTATTCAGTGTGTGCTCCCTTTTGAAAAGATTCCCACTAAATGATCCACGCAAGTTACGGAACAGGAGAAGGTCAATTTCCATTCTTTAACAAACGGTAAAATCTTCTGCTTCTTACTCTAGGTAAGAAATTCCATCCTCCTCCTCATCCAAACCATGTGTGAGAAGTGCTACATTGAAGCCCGGGAAGGCTGGCCGCTCATCGATTATGTCTTCTCTCAGTTCGCCATGTCCAACAGGAACCTGGTAGGGAGAGGCTGCAGTTTGACTGCTGCCCTGTAACAAATGCAGTCGATTCAACTGGCTTCACAAAGAAGGCTGGGGTATCATTCAATGGCTCATTTCAGTGTTAATTTCACTCTCATCACTCTCACTGATAATATTTTCAGCCTCAGGTTTTCTCAGTTCCCTCTCTTAGGTCTCTTTTAAACTAAGACAAGGCCATTTAAATCTGTCTTCCCTAGAGAGGTGAGGACAATGTGGCTTCCAAAGGCTTGGGCTGGGGATGGTTGGGAAAGAGGCAGAGAGTATCACGTTAGAGAAAACCAAAGGAACACCAAGCTTGTGGGACTGATGTCTTAGTCCATCAGGCTGCTAAATGGCGTGGTCTGGGTGACTTATAAACCACAAACGTTTATTTCTCACAGTTCTAGATTCTGGGAGATCCAAGATTCGTGTTCAGTAAGAACTCACACACAGTGGCTCCTCATTGTGTACTCACACAAAGGAACGTGCTAGATAGCTTTGTGGGGTCTCTCACAAGATCACCAATCCCAAAGATGAGGGCTCTTCCCTTCTGACCTAATCACTTCCCAAAGCCAGTGTAGGCATAACATCACCCTCGGGGTTAGGATTTTAATACATGAATTTCAGACCACAGCAACTGAAATCTGCTCTCATTTCCAGCAGACATTTGAAAATTTTTGCCATAGAGCATTTCCAAGGATTGTTTTGTTTTTTAAATATTTGAGAGTTCGAGTCACAGACAAATAGAGGGAGACACAAAGAGAAAGCTCTTCCCTCTGCTGGTTCACTCCCCAAATGACTGCAATGGACAGAGCTGGGCCGGTCCAAAGCCAGGAGCTTCTTCCTGGTCTCCCACGTGCATGCAGGGGCCCAAGGACTTGGGCCATCTTCTACTGCTTTACCAGGCTATAAGCAGAGAGCTGGATCAGATAAGGAGCAGCCAGGACATGAACTGGTGCTTATATGGGATGCTAACACCACAGGCAGAGGCTTAGCCTACTGCGCCACAGTGCCGTCCCTCCAAGGTTTTTTAAATCTTAACCTATCATCATTTCCAGCATCATCTATTTCTTATGACATTATTCTGTTCATGCTCTCATTGGAAACAGTTCCCACTAAATGATCCATAGAGGTTACAGGAGAAGGGAATGGCAAAGGACCAAAGAGAGAAAGGAAATGCCTACCGTCCAAGAATGCTCACCATGTTTTGTTTTTCTGTTTTAGCCAGGAGCGTGCTTTACAATCCACTCTGCCAAGGGGCTCTTTCAAACAGGGATTAGATGCTGGAGTCCAAGATCCCTGGGTTCTATGAACCCTATAATTTAAGTAACTACATCCTCCACTCCAGAGTATGAGAACACCCCCATGTAAGGTTAGAGGACAGCCTTAGGCATTAATAACAAGTCACCTATCTCATCTTTCTTAAAGGAGAAACCAGTGAAAAGTAACTTCCAAGAGGATGACACAGGGGAGAAATTGGTCCGAGACACAAGCCTTGAGGTCTTAAAGACTCTGGACCCACTGGTCATTGGAATGCCTCAGGTAAGGGGTCTTTTGTCCGCACTTCCTGCTACTTTGATCTTCAGAATGCTACCATTTAGCAGTAAAAATTAGTTTGTATTCCACAAATCAGCTTGTTTATGCTCTAACTAGAGGACGTGTGCAATGATGCTGAGTACCTAGCACGCAGTAGTTCCTCAAAACAAATGTTGAAGTAATGAAAATGACGTATCGTCATAGTATGTTTTTGTTTTGTTTTTTTTGTTTTGTTTTTTTTTTTTTTTTTTACAGGCAGAGTGGACAGTGAGAGAGAGAGACAGAGAGAAAGGTCTTCCTTTGCCATTGGTTCACCCTCCAATGGCCACCGCGGCCGGCGCACCGCGCTGATCCGATGGCAGGAGCCAGGAGCCAGGTGCTTTTCCTGGTCTCCCATGGGGTGCAGGGCCCAAGCACCTGGGCCATCCTCCACTGCACTCCCTGGCCACAGCAGAGGGCTGGCCTGGAAGAGGGGCAACCGGGACAGAATCCGGCGCCCTGACCGGGACTAGAACCCGGTGTGCCGGCGCCGCTAGGCAGAGGATTAGCCTAGTGAGCCGCGGCGCCGGCTATCGTCATAGTATGTAACATTTATAATAAATTTCATATATTATTTCTCTCCTCCCCTACAGTATCCAGAAATACTGTTAAGCACTCAGTGGTAATTTTACCACAGTGAAGTCCAAACTTTACCTCTTTCTCTGGGAAGGTGTCACCTATTCTCAGGCCTCCCTGGTAATCTAATTCATCTGCATTTTCTCCATTTTCCTTAGCCAAAATAGGCTGAGAAAGCATTTAGCTGCCAGAAATACAAGGCACAGCCAGGAGACAATGAGCAGAGCACTCTTTGGTCAGAGGCTCCATCTAGGATAGTATGTGGTTGACTTATCAAGGTTATTTACTTGAAAGGTAGATTTCAGGACCATATGCAAGTTCTACCAGATCAACATGTCTGGACATGGAGCCCATGAGTGCACAATAAAACAAGTTCCGGTATTTCTGAGTTATACTATAGTTTAAGATATTCTGATTGGAGCAATGGGGATGGAGTTTTGCACAGCAGTTAAGATGCTGGCTTGGAGGTTGGGGGATGGTGGCAGATAAGACGCACTGTGAACTGTTAGGCTAAGCTTCCACCTGCAGCACCAGCATCCCATATGGGCACCGGTTCATGTCCCGGCTGCTGCTCTTCCAATCCAGCTCTCTGCTAAGGCCTGGGAGGGCAGGGGAGGATGGCCCAAGTGCTTGGGCCCCTGCAGTGGTGTGGGACACCTGAAGGGAGCTCCTGGCTTCAAATGGGCCCAACTCTGGTTGTTGCAGGCATTTGGGAAGTGAACCAGGGGATGGAAGACCTCTCTCTCTGAATCTACCTCAAAAATAAGTAAATTTTTAAAAAAATTTTATTTCAGAGGTAGAGTTACAGACACAGAGAAGGAGAGAAAGAAGAACAAGTCTTCCATCTGCTGGTTCACTCCCCAGATGGCTGCAACTAATGGAGCTGCACCAAGCTGAAGCCAGGAGCTTCTTCCAGGTCTCCCATGCCAGTGCAGGAGCCCAAGTGCTTGGGCCATCTTCTACTGCTTTCCCAGGCCATAGCAGAGAGCTATATGGGAAGAGGAGCAGCCGAGACTAAAACTGGTGCCTATATGAGATGCCAGTGCTGCAGGCAGAGGAATAACCTATGCACCACAGTGCCAGCCCCAAAAACAAGTAAATTTAAAAAAGAAAAATGCTAGGTACCAGACCTTTAAAAAAAATACTGCTTGGAAAGACTACATCCCACATTGGAGTTTGGTTTGAGTTCCAGCTACTCTGCTTCCTATCTAGCTTCCTGATGGCAGGGGAGGCAGAAGATGATGTCTCACGTGTCCCCACCACCCATGTAGGAGATCAGGATTGAGTTACAGGCTCCTGGCCTCAGCTATCCCATGCATTTGGGGAGTGAACCAGCAGCTGGAAGATTCCTTCCCACCTCCACCACTACTACCATCACATTCACCTTTCAAATAAAAGGAAAGGCTGTTTCACTTTTTAAAAACCTTTGATCCAGAAGTAAGCCATCAAGCAATTGTCTAAGGTCAGTCTCTAAAGGGCCTGAAACACCAAACTGTTGTCCTGTGGTTGAGGAACCGATGAAAATTTTAAGTGCTCAACATTGAAAATCACGACAGGAACTCATTGAATTGATGTGTGGGTCAACTAAGAGCAGAGACAACATACACGTGATCCAATCAACTCCTAGGACCTGGAGCAGCATCACAATCATAGGAATTAATCTTACTATGAAATAAGGATGGGGTGGGGGGCTTGGTGATTAAACACAGATGTCAAGAAAGAGCCAAGAGGCGCCAACATTGTGGCATAGTAGGCAAAAGCGCCACCTGCAATGCCGGTATACAATAGGGGCCCAGATCCTATCCTGGCTGCTCCACTACTGACCCAGCTCCTTGTTAATGGCCTGGGAAAGCAGCAGAGGGATGGCCCAAGTGCTTGGGCCCCTGCTACCTACGTGGGAGAGCTGGAGGAAACTCCTGGATCCTGGCTTCAGCATGACATAGTGATCTCAATTACATTATCCAATCATAATACATGTGATACATGTGCTGATGTGGCCATCTGGGAGTGAACCAGTGGTTGGAAGATCTTTGTCTCCCTAACTCGTTCAGATAAATAAATCAATCTTTATAAGAAAAAAAAGCAAAGAAAGAAAGGAAGAATCCAAGTAGAACCAAGGTTTCTATTTGGACAAGTGCATTCTCCAAAGGTCATGAGATATACTCAATAAAGAAATTTAGACATGTTTCAGACCTCTAGAATGGAAGAGCAATGCCTGAAGCTCCAAGAACGGCAGCAGCCCACATGCTGTCCTCTGCCAATCTTTCTCAAGTGGGGCAGTCCCACTCTAAACGTGGGATAAGGGGAATTATGTAGAACCATTCTGGTTGTCACATTGACATGAGGAACACAGGCACTTGGTGAGCAGGGCCCAGGACCTATACACATTCCACAGCATCTGGAATAGTGTCTCATAACAAAGAATTGCCCAGCAACACCTGGGAGAAACACTGACCAAGGCACTCTACACCTGGCACTGGAAAATGAATGCACTAAGCAGAGATTTTATTGAATGATTTCATTTTCACTTGGTCTGAGCTGCAAAATGATAGCAGATGAGAGGCAAGATTCTGAACCAGAGGGAAACATGCAGTGAGGACCAAAGAGATGAGAATAAGCAGTTTTTGCATTTTCCTCTTGATGTCCACAGGTGTTATGGCCACGAATCCTGACTTTCATGGTACCTATGGAATACACAGGAACTCTGGAGCACCTATTTAACATCATCAGAATTCTGATTATGGCAGAGGAAAGAAAGAAGCAAAATGTCAAGGAGTCCACAGCACTTGTCATCTCTACAGGAACTGGTTTGTACATTCCTTATTCATTAAGGAAGTAAAACGCTTCTGTTATGAGAGACTCATTTCCCAGAAGGCTACAATGCTTTGATCTTAACACCCAATCCCAAGCTGAGGTGTTTTTTTTTCTTCTATTCAACAGTGATGATGAACCTTGTTTTCTCTTTCTAGTTAAACTTCCTACACCACAGCAGCTCCTGGCCAGGCTTCTGGTGAGTACGTTACAAAAAACCGAGATGAAATAAATGTAAGCTGATAAGGATAATTCAGTTCCAAACCAAAACAAACACTTAAGTGGAATAATTAATATTCTATTGTGTTAATGACACTAATGATTGTTGTCAAGACTATCTTCGATTCACTTATTAAACTTTATGGTTTTAAAAATAAGCATAGACAGAATCTCTCCAGGACTACCAAACAATTCCACGTCTGTGGAACAGATTTCCTTTCTCTCCCTGTGACCATAATGCATACAAATTATCCTAACATGATTTTCCCATGCCCTGATTTAGTTAATAGATACATATATCTAAGTGCTGGTTCTATTTGTTTTTGGTTGATCATTTCTACATTTATTTTCACATTTATCCTCAGAAAAAGAAAATAAGAGGAAGGGATATCTAAGTCTCAACTTTGTTTTAAAGTGGGGACAGTGATTACCTGCTTAAAAATTATCCAATATAGAAATCAAAGGCATCCATAACAGTACAGAAAAGGGTAGTTGGTCTTTCAAATGCCTGGAATTGGTGACTGTTTTGTTTTCTGTCATACAGGTAATATCCATACTTGCCAGCTTAGGGAAATTATGTGGGGCTGGCGCAATAGGACTTTTGAAGATAATGCCTGAGATAATCCACCCAAAATTGGTAGATCTATGGAAAACACGCTTCCCTGAGCTCCTGCAGCCTCTGGAAGGTATGAAGTAGGGTCAGCTCTTTGTCCAAGGAGGCAAGGACATGAAGGAATGGTGCACCATTTCTCTTTAAAGACATCAGGCAATTAAAAAACAAAAGATAGGTACAACAGACAGCTTTGTTTTCTTTCTGGATTCCTTGTGTTCTTTTCCTATACCAAAACTCATCCTATGAGAAGACCTGGCAGGAAACACTTGTAGCAGGAATTTTCACGTTTGCTCTGGTCTTCCTGTATTTTGGAAAATTCTCATTTGGTATTACTCTACAAAGTTATTCCTCATTCATGGGAGACATATTTTAGTGATCATTTTAGTATTCAATGTTGAAATTAGTAAAAGCCCTAGATTTTTATTTTTATTTTTATTGATTTAGCACTCAATTTCTCCATATAGAAAATTTCACCTCCAGTAACCATTTTGAGCAGGGAGAATGCCTGAAATGGAACTCCAGCATCCACTGGGGACCCAGCAATAGAGAATTTGAGTCTTGATTTATCTGTAGTTATCAAACTAATTTTTATTTCTAGGAAAGAATGCTAGTATCGTGCTGTGGGAAACCATGCTGCTTCAGGTAATGGCGGCCTCCCTATTAATCACTGATTATGGGGTCATAGTTAGCTGAGGTTACTCATTTGAGCAAAAGAGAACTAGATTCTGAGGAATAGTAAATACAGAAATGATTACTCTTTAAATCGCCAAAGTTTGATGGTGCCAGTATGGTGACACAGTGAGTTAGGCTGCTGTTTGTGATGCCAACATCCCATATTAGCACCAGTTCCAGCCCCAGATGCTTCAATTCTGATCTAGCTTCTTGCTAATTCACTTGGGAAAGTACCAGTAAATGGCTCAAGTGCTTGAGCCCTTGCCACCCATGTGGAAGACATGGATGAAGTTCCAGGCTTCTGGTTTTGGCCTGGCCCAGCCCTGGCTGTTGTGGCCATTTGGTGAGTGAACCAACGAATGGAAGGTGAATCTCTCCCCCTCTCTCTCCTATCTAACTATGTATCTATGCCCCCCGTAAGTCCTCCTTTCAAATTAATCTTTTAGAAAAATCACTATAATTTGAAAAATCTTTAATCTTCAATTAAGTTTAAAATAATTGAAATTTTCACTTACTCCTATTTTTCTTAAATCCTCTAAGTTTTTCTTCTGCTTGCAACCATTCTTTGGCCTTTCACATCAAGAAACATAGGTTAATGTACATTCCACTTCTATGCATCTAAATGCAACTTTATTTCCTCCCGTCTTTCTGTCTTTTCCACAATTTCTGAAAACCAAAGGACACACTGCATCCTTTTTCTAGAATGTCTTATCTAACTTATAACATGTTTTCCATATGCAATGGCAAACCCTAGAAAAGACCAGTTGCAGTCAGGTGTTAGACAACAGCTTCAGAGACTTCAATTTCAGCGGTCTACAGAAGGCCAAGGAGGCTGTGCCTAAGGAGCTTTTACTATGGCAGGTTCAGTTAATAAGCTATCCACATAGCAAGTATCTATGGCCAAAAGTGTCCATTTTCAATGACTCCCACCAGCACTTCCTGTACCTCCTATCACCACCCCTTCCATAATCAGGATTTCTGAGGATTGTCATCTTTTTAAAGCTCAAAGAGTGATTCTTACCCAATTTAACATCTGAAAATGACTGGTCTATTGGTCCTCAATTCTAAGATCTACCTCTCCTCCCATATTCATTATTTGCCTTTTTTTAAAAACTCCATCTCCCTCTCTCCCAAATTCCTACCTTATTTTCCCTTGCTACAATTTTAGATTTTTAGAAAATGTGTTCAAAAGAAAAAGAGAAGGAAAAAAAATCTCCCATCCACTGGTTTACTCCTCACTACCTGCAATAGCCAGGGCTGGGCCTGGCCAGAGCCAGGCTCTGGGAACTTAGTCTCGCTCCTGGATGGATGGTAGAAACTCGATTACTTGAGCCATCACTTGCTACCTCTTTATATCCACATCAGCAAGAGATTGGAGTCAGGAGCTGGAGCCAGGTACCAAACGTAGGAACTCTGATACGGGACATGGGTATCTTAACTGGCGCCTTAACACTAGGCTAAATGCCTGCCCTAGCTACTATTTCAAAGTAGCTATTTTTCTTCTCTAGAAGGAAGCTTTGAGAACAATTTATTTTCCTCATACAATCTTGAGTATATGTCTAGTTGTTTTCTGAAACCATCTGCACACATCCTCCCTTCAAGTTACAAGCTATTTTTCTTTAAAGGACCATCAAGTGAGCTCCTATTAAGAAAATGAATTCAAATTCTTTCATTGTCTTTGGCAATTAGTGATTTTTCTAAGTTTAAAATAGATAATGTATAGGAGAAATAATGTATTTTAAAAATTGCTATGATTTTGTCATCCAAAAAGACCACCTTTTTTTTTAATCTATTGTTCAATGGAGACGGATATGGGTTCAGGGAATTGATTATGAATCTGGTTCAAAACATTGGTGAAACCAAGAATCTTTAGTTACTAGAGTTGAAATTTGCAGCAATATTCCTGTACTTCTAATTGGTTCTTTGAGATATTTAGTTCTGTATTCCAAAACTCCATCCTGTTTTTCTAATATAAATCAAAAAAAAAAAAAAACATTGGTAAGCAGCATTTTTCTAAATCTATCAAAACTTGAAAACTAAGTTTCATATTGGATTCATTTTTCAATCTCTCAACTTTTACTTAAGAGTAAAATAGAGGAAGGCACTTACACAAAGTTATTTCCGCACATTCTATACATCTTACTCCTAGTGAAAATTTAGAACATATCGGAAAATGACTTAATATAAACTGAAAGGGAAAGTTCCAGAGTAATTAGTTACTTTACAGAGAAGGGAATGGACCCATTTAATGCATATTTAACTGTTTAAAAAATATGCCAACAAAAAAGTACCAATAAAGACATTAAAGTGTCACACTCATGCCTGCCCTCCACTTCTACAACAGCTGCTCAAAGAATCTTTGTGGAACATCAATGACACAGCCTGGACCATTCAACTGAGTCAGGACTTCAACCAGCAAATGGGCAGTTACAGCAACACCTCCATTGAGAAGGTTGGTTTTTCAGCTAAGCGGGGGCCTCAGCTTCCACCTTGTGACCCACAGCATCTGCTCAAGCTCCATCTTGTCTATAGATAAACCAAAAGGAGGGAGGCAAAGTCAGAAAAGAGGGTTACCTCCTTTCAAGGCCACTTCATGAAATATTGTACAACTTTGCATTTAGCCAGAATGTACTCGTATGGCCATATCTATGTTCAAGGAAGACAGGGTTTATGCTCTAGAGGAGGAGGATAAAAGGGACACTGAGAGGCAGACAGCAGTCTCTGCCATAGCCCTGCTTTAGTGTCCACTGATGTCGTTTCCCAGTCAGCCAAGCTTGCAATACTGCAGAAACAACCCACTGCAATTGAACAAAGGCTTAGTGCGAAAAGAATGCACAAAAGCCAGTTCTCCCATTCCTCTGCCTCCTCCCAGGCTCTCTATTATCCCACTACCTTGTAGCCATCTATCCCAAATGGGATTTGAATCCAATTTCTTTTGCTTTCTCCTAACGTAACCTTTGGTAAATTATTTAGCCTCTCTGAATCATCAATACACTAATCTCTTAAGATTTATTTATTTGGTTGAAAGGCATAGTTAGAGTTGTTAGAGAGTGAGAAAGAGTGAGAGAGAGAGAGTCAGAGAGGTAGAGAGAGTCAGAGAGAGAGAGAGAGTCAGAGAGAGAGAAAGAGTCAGAGAGAGAGAGAGGTAGAGAGAGAGAGAGACAGGTAGAGACAGAGAGGTAGAGAGACAGGTAGAGACAGAGTGACAGAGAGTGAGAGAGTGACAGAGAGAGAGAGTGTGTGAGAGTGTGAGAGAGAGTGTGTGTGTGAGAGTGTGAGAGTGAAAGAGTGAGAGAGTGAGAGAGAGTGAGAGAGTGAGAGTGAGAGAGTGAGAGAGTGAGAGAGAGTGTGAGAGAGAGTGAGAGAGAGTGAGAGAGTGAGAGAGTGAGAGAGTGAGAGAGTGAGAGAGAGAGAGAGTGAGAGAGTGAGAGAGAGAGAGAGTGAGAGAGAGAGAGTGAGAGAGTGAGAGAGAGAGTGAGAGAGAGTGAGAGAGAGTGAGAGTGAGAGAGAGTGAGAGAGAGTGAGAGAGAGTGAGAGAGAGTGAGAGAGAGAGTTAGAGAGAGTTAGAGAGAGTTAGAGTTAGAGAGAGTTAGAGAGAGTTAGAGAGAGTTAGAGTTAGAGTTGGAGAGAGTTGGAGAGAGAGAGTTAGAGAGAGAGAGTTAGAGAGTTAGAGAGAGAGTTAGAGAGTTAGGAAGAGACAGAGACACAGACAGAGAAGAATTAGAGAACGAAGGAAAGAGTTAGAACGAAGGAAAGAAAGAAAGGAAAGAAAAAAAAAGAATAGATCTTCCATCCACTGATTCACTCCCCAAATGGCTGCGATGGCTGGAGCTTGGTTGATCCAAAGCCAGGACGGAGAGCTTCTTCAGGGTCTTCCATGTGGGTGGCAGGAACCCAAGGACTCAGCCACCTTCCACTGCTTTCCCAGGTGCATTAGCAGCGAGTTGGATTGCATGTGGAACAGCCAGGACACAAACCAGAGCCCACAAAGGAAGTCAGCGCCCCAGGTGGTGGCTTCAGCTGTTCCACCACAGCCCTGGCCCCATACACTACTCTTTAAAACGTGAAGAATACCTACCTCTGAGGGTTTTAGTGTTTTAAGAGTTCAATGAATTAAAATGTAAAAAGTCCAAGCCAGGGCTGGCACTGTGGCATAGAAGGTTAAGACTCCGCCTGCAGCGACAGCATCCCATGTGAGTGCCAGTTCAAGTCCTGGCTGCTTTATTTCTGACCCAGCCCCCTGCTAACGCCCTGGAAAAGCAGAAGATGGCCCCTGTACCCATGTGGGAGACTCGAAGAAGCTCCTGGCTCCTAGCTTCAGATCAGCCCAGTTCTAGCTTTTGTGGCCATTTGGGAAATGAATCAGTGGAGCAGATCAAAGACCTCTCTGTCTCTCCCTCTGTCTGTAACTCTAACTCTGCCTCTCAAATAAGTAAATAAAAAAAAAATTTGTAGTGAAATGCCTAGCACAAGGCATAAACCCAAGAGTCAAAGGGATCACACAAACAAGACTAGTGTCTGCTACTACTAAATGATAGAATCAAAAAGGGAGAGAACGATCCATCATGGGAAGCAGGATACACAGCAGACTCATATAATGGCAGATGTCCTAAATAGCACTCTGGCCTTGGAATCAGCCCTTAAGGCATTCGGATATGGCTGAAGAGCCCATGAGAGTATTTTAGGCATGGAAAGCCAAGACACCCTGGGGAAAAAAAAAAAGAAGACCTAAATGAAAACTCTCTGCAAGTGAGATCCCAGTAGAAAGAACAGGGTCATCAAAGAAGGAGGTACCTTTCTCTGAAGGGAGGAGAGAACCTCCACTTTGACTATGACCCTGTTGGAATAAGATCAAAGTCGGCGAACTCAAAAGGGTTCCATAGCCTTGGCAACTCATGACTAGAGCCTAGGCAGATTACTGATGCCATAAACAAGAGTGTCAAATTGTTAAGTCAACAACAGGAGTCACTGTGTACTTACTTCTCATGTGGGATCTGTCCTTAGTGTGTTGTCCAATGTGAAGTAATGCTATAACTAGTACTGAAACAGTATTTTACACTTTGTGTTTCTGTGTGGGTGCAAACTGATGAAATCTTAATATATACTAAATCGATCTTTTGTATATAAAGATAATTGAAAATGAAAAAAAAATTAGTTTTGATCATTATCCATATGTTAATATCATTAATTTATTTTTCTGGAAAAATATTTCCTAAGTCTTATCAGTTTCAATATTTTTTAACAAGTTTATATAAACAGACACCTGACTTGAAGGGAAAACTATCTAGGATTCATTTTTTTAAGAGTAATTTACAGGCCAGTGCCGCAGCTCACTTGGCTAATCCTCCGCCTTGCGGCGCCAGCACACCGGGTTCCAGGCCCGGTCGGGGCGCCGGAGTCTGTTCCGGTTGCCCCTCTTCCAGGCCAGCTCTCTGCTGTGGCCAGGGAATGCAGTGGAGGATGGCCCAAGTGCTTGGGCCCTGCACCCCATGGGAGACCAGGATAAGTACCTGGCTCCTGCCTTCAGATAGGCGCAGTGGGCCAGCCACAGTGCGCCGGCCATGGCAGCCATTGGAGGGTGAACCAACGGCAAAGGAAGACCTTTCTCTCTGTCTCTCTCTCTCACTGTCCACTCTGCCTGTCAAAACAAAAAAAAGAGTAATTTACCCTTACTTAAAGGCAGATTGCCCTACATATAACAGCTATGTACAAAAAAAGTTAAAAAATTGTCCTTGGTTTTACAATGATTAATGAAAAACATTAAAATTCTCCAAACAAGGTATGCAAGGATTTTTATATTTTATTTTTTTGTTAAAACAATGGGAGCAAAAGAAGTTACTGGAATATAAAGATAGGAGCTGAATGAGCATGCCACTAATGGAGAAAGGGGATATTTTCACATTTTTCCCCCATTCCATTCACACTTGATGTCAATTAAAACATACCATTGGCCATTTATTTAAAAAAAAATCCAATATGCTTGTGCACATACACCAGTCACTTTATATACAATAAAGGAATGGGGAGGGGGAAATGAAAGAATAGAGAAAACTACACTGTAGTTGTCAGGATGTGATGGAAGCCAGCTGCAGCTTTCTAGTTGAGAATATGTTCTTGGTCCTTAAGGACGGAGTTCTGGGGTAAAGCAGTGCCCGTCTGCTGCTGGAACACATCAGTTGTATCTTCGGCCTCCATTTCACTGTGAGGTGTCTGATTCATTGATTGGCTGCCCGTCAAATCGGAATCCAATCTGCCTCATTGACAAACCCTGTTGTTCACAATAGGCTTTCATTGGTTTATTTACTAAGTGGTGTATGCCTCTTAAGCTGCACCATGGAACCAACCTGCCCTGCCACCTTCAAATTAATATGAATGTTGTTCTCAATCTTGACTCCTTCCTAGAGCTTTTTGTGGGCCATAGCGAGCACCAGAGTCTCTCCAGCTGCCACTTCACAAAAGGGGTACCAGGTCTTCATGGAATGAGCACACAAGCGGCACCAGGAGCTGCAGAAGCAGCTCAATATTGTTTCTACCATAAATTATTTGTAGTCAACCTTCAACTCTCCCCTCACTGATTAACTCCCTAATTTGTTCTAGGGTAGCCATTCTCCAAATTGGACTACGTAGCTCAAAGGCACAGCATAGAAAGCTTTCGGTGTGCAGTCGCTCATGTTCTAGGTATCATGAACCTTGCATCATACCACTCAACTAACAGCTTCCAGGTCCACAGATGTGCTTCAAGTTAAGGGTAGCATGGGTAGGCAGAGCAGTTTAAGCAATGAGCTCCCTGGATGCCTCTCAATCCTTGCATTGGACAAGAGTAAACAATGTAGTAATGTACTAATTAACTTTTTCTGTATAGAAATTACCTCTAATTACTTAAAACAGCCACCTATTTGCTGAAAAATTTGTAGGCTGATATTTCGGGTTGGGGTCAGTTGGAAAGTCTTCTTGATGTGGGCAATGAAAATAGTCATTTTTTTTAATTCAGATTTTTGTCTCCCACACAGATAGAAATACTAGGCAGTTATAATTATAAAATTAATTGTCCAGTGCCGTGGCTCAACAGGCTAATCCTCCGCCTGCGGCGCCGGTACCCCAGGTTCTAGTCCCGGTTGGGGCACCAGTTCTGTCCTGGTTGCTCCTCTTCCAATCCAGCTCTCTGCTGTGGCCCGGGAAGGCAGTGGAGGATGGCCCAAGTGCTTGGGCCCTGCACCCACCTGGGAGACCAGGAGGAAGCACCTGGCTCCTGGCTTTGGATCAGCGCGATGCGCTGGCCGCAGCGTGCCGGCCACGGCAGCCATTGGAGAGTGAACCAACGGCAAAGGAAGACCTTTCTCTCTGTCTCTCTCTCACTGTCCACTCTGCCTGTCAAAAAAAAAAAAAAAAAAAACAACTGCCGGATAGGTGCAGTGCGTTGGCCACAGCGCGCCAGCCATAGCAGCCATTTGGGGGGTGAACCAACAACGGAAGGAAGACCTTTCTCTCTGTCTCTCTCTCTCACTATCTAAATCTGCCTGTCAAAAAAAATTAACTCAAAGTATGTCATTGTAAAAATTAAAAGACTAAGAAAGGAAGGTGGAGAGAGGGTAGGGTGGGAAGTATCACTATGCTCCTAAACCTGTATATATGAGATACATGAAATTTGTTCACCTCATATAAATTTAAAAATTAAAGAAAAATACTATTTGTTAGTAAGGGAGTAAATGTGAATTCACCTGTTCCACATTGAGAAATGCCCAATGTGAGTGGGCCATAGAATTACCCATAATCTAGAGAGTAAAGGAAAACCAAAAATGGTACCTGTGATTAGGAAGGTCTGCCCAAGGATGGGAGAGCAGGTCTGTCCGAAACTGGTCCACAGTGGAAGAGCACATCACACAGTGGTGCATCTGAGGGTCTCCCGTGGTAGAAAAACGAGCTCTCCCCCACTATCTCTTTTCATAATCAAGGGGGTGGTACCACAATCAGATATGCAAACGGAGTTGAGTCCTATCATGTGTGCTGGTCTGGTTGCAACAGGTGCATCCTGCAAATAATGATTAACAGTTAAAGAGGTAGGGTTACATTGCAGGGGTAGAAGAATTCCAGGTTGCCTAAACTTTAACTAACAGCTTCTGTTACACCCTATCATTCTCATCTCTGCTGGGTTCATGGGGTATACTAGAGATTAATTGGTCTATAATAGTCTTAACTAGAACAGCTGATTGCTATTCCTTGTGGGCTCTCATTTTCCAGCAGGCTAGCTGAGGCTTCTGTCTTGGTGGGAGCAACAAAATACACAATGTCTATTGAGACACAGGTTCAGATCTGGCATTACCACTTTTGCCAGACCATGTCAGCCAAAGCACTTCACAAAGTCAGCCCAGAATCAAGGGTGGGAAAAACAGCTCCTTTGTTGATGGACGGAGCTGCAGTACATCATAGTAAGGAGGGGGCATAAAGGTAGGATCAAATCATGTGACTGTGCACTCTAACACATTTTCCACCACACGACTGGGTTCTTGATTTCTGAGAATCTATGGCAAATCCCAAAGCAGGAATGTTTTATACACTGAGAGAAAGGATACATCAGCAAAACTCGGAGGCCCTGAGATTAGCACTTTTCTTCTAGGTCATGTTTTCCCCTTCATAACATCAGGGTTTTTTTTCTGTAGTACAAAACTTTTGCCAGTCATTTCCTCCAAGGTAGTGTTAAGTTAGCAGTTCTGCACCTAATTAATATGTATTTCTGTGTTGTACACAGTTTTCCTCAATATAATTCCCTTACCACAGGGACCTTTATCTTAGGCAACTAAGAGTAAAGTTTGTGCAAACCTACCCCATCAGATTCTCACCCTGATCCAGTCTTCTGCACTCCAGTAGCTGAGAAAACAGCCATGTCTCCCCCTTGTTTTTGTGCCTTACCTCCCACCTATGCCAGGTCAGACTGGTCTGCACACCCTCCCCTGAATGTACTCATTAAACCACATCTGTTTCTACTTGTATTGCCTTTCCTCCTGTTGCATTTTTCTCCTGTGGTCAACAATGAGCCATCCTTCAGACATGCAGAGTCCTGGAAGTGGTCCACCAATCAAACAGTTTTCTCTCGTGCATGTGACAAGATGGAGATTCTAGACAGAGGTACCAATCTGATCTCCTCTGGCCATAAGTTATTTGAGTCTTAGAAAACAAATCAAAACCATCTTCAAAATAACCTATTTCATGAGTGTGTTTATTCAATGAGCATTTGCTAAGCACTTATTAGCTACCAGGAACTGTGTAATAGTCAATGAAATGTTCTGCTGCCAAAAATTCAAATTCTGAGCATAGAGGCAAAGAAGATAATAAAAATTATGATAGAGAGGAAAAGGAATTACAATGGTAGGGCAGAGGGATAGAGAAGCGCAGAGGAAGGGCACAGGTGGAGCATAGAACCAGAAGGAAACATTTTCAGGAGGGAATCCGGCTCGAGGTACCTGGTTTTTAAGCAATTGCTACATCATCCCCATTTCTTCCTCCAGATGACTATTTTAACTCTCCACTTTTCATTTCCAACCTTCAAAATCCTGGTGTTTGTTTTCCAGAAATTTCTTTGGAAAGCCTTAGGAACCACTTTAGCCTCCTGCCAAAATACAGACTTTGTGGGCTCGCAGATTAAAGAGTTTCTGATTGCTCCCACCCAACTGGGTGATCCGAGACAGGTGAGAACCCTTTCCCTCAATTTCCCCATGTGATGAGGACAATGAATCCCGTCCATAAAACCTCTGACAGCCCTTATGAAGAAGTCTGACAGAACCATAATTATCCATGAATACATTCAGTGTAGCCCAACAGAATTCTTCAGAAAAAAAATCAGCCTTCCATGTTTAACTATCACCATTCCATTTTTAAACCAATCTTGTGAAAGTATTGCAAAATGAATTCTATTCCTGCTTATTTCAAATGAGTATCTTTGATATATTTTGATCTGGCCTTTCAAATTTAAAGTATGATCATGAACACCAAAATCATGGAATTTACAAGCTAAAAGAAACCTTAGAGAAAACTGGTTTTTAATCTAGAGAGAAGATAAATGGAAGAGGTTTTGCAAAGTGCCTTTCCCAATTCCCTCCCCTAAGCTAGGCTGGAGGGCCTGTGTAACTGGAGGAAGGATAGGATGTATAGTTTTTAAAACAAATAAAAAATCTCCAGGCTAATAAGGACCACCAGTAAAAATGTTGTAGTGTGTAGTGTTACTTTTTTGTTGTTGTTCAGAAATTCTGACACGTTTAGGGTTTTTTCTTTTTAAAAAAAAAAATTTATTTATTTGAGAGGCAGAATTACAGACACAGAGAGGGAAAGAGAGATCTTCTATCTGCTGGTTCAGCTGTCCCGATCCGAAGCCAGGAGCCAGGAGCTTCTTCCGGGTCTCCCACGTGGGTACAGGGGTCCAAGGACTTGGCCATCTTCTACTGCTTTCCCAGGCCATAGCAGGAAGCTGGATCAGAAGTAGAGCAGTTGGGACATGAACCGGCAACCATACAGGATGTCGGCGCCACAGGTGGAATCTTAAGCTACGCCATAGCGCCAGCCCCATGGGGGCTTTTCTCACACATTAAAGCCACACACACAAGACTTTACTGCTCTGATATTAATACTATTTATTTTTCTCCCTGTCAGTGTTGTTCTTTATCTTGACATTGCTTCTAGCAACATTTCCCCCAGATTAGTTGCCCTTTTAGTCCTGCTAGGGTAGGAAACCATGTAAGTTTACAACAAGGCTCTCATTCAAGGTCTGAGGTTTCACAAGCTGAAAGACTAATTATGAAGCCCATGCCTCCTTTAGTTAACTGCAGGTGGTTTTTGTTGTTTTGTTTTTGTTTTGCGTTTTGAAAAAGAAAAGAGGCTTATTTGACTTAGGGTTCTGGAGGATGGAAAGCCCATGAGTATGGCCCTGCATCTGTTCAGCCTCTGGTGAGGACCTTCCTGATGAGTTCCAACACAGTGAGATGGAGCAAGCAAGCCAGAGAGAGTTCAGTTTCATGAAAAAGCTCTGTGAATGTACTAACCCACTCATGAGAGCTCAGCCCTCAGAACCTGCTCACTCCTCAAGTACACACCTCCAAGTAACACTCATATATGCATACTGGAATTAAGTTTCCAATACATGAAATTTGGGATTAAGTTTCCGATATAAACTCAGACTATAGCAATATGTTTATTAATAGCTACTTCTCACATTCTGCTAGATCAGTTTAGCTAAACATATGCGTTAGTACTTTTCTGAATCAATTAACAAAATGATTACTAATAATGTACATGGTATTATCCAAATTCCTAAAACTTAACTAACGTCCTCTAGACTAACAAGTTGAAGAGACCCCTCAACGTCACTTGCCCTGTGTGCCTACAGCTCAAAAACCTTAAATAGTTTCAAAAACCTCCTGAAGCATGCATGCCACGTTGTCACAGATTTCTTGAATGTATCACCCCATTCCCTCATATCTCTAAGCAAATGATCTCAGATGAGTAAAGTGGCACACCTGACTGTCTTAATCTAGCTGAGTGTAACTGTCTCTGACCTCCTAAACAGGGCTCTCACTAGAGTAATGTGAGAGCTCCAACTCCAGCCGTGGATGAGCTGGATTCAAATCTTGCTTCCACCATACACCATCTATTTGTGTGCCAATTCAAGTCCTGGTTGCTCCACTTCCCATCCAGTTCCCTGCTAAAGTAGCTGGGAAAGCAGCAGAGGCTTGCCAGAGTGCTTTCCCACTGCCACCCACGTGGGAGATCTGGATGGTGTTCCAGGCTCCTGGTTTCAGCTCAGCCCAGCCCTGGCCATTGTGGCCATTTGGGGAGTGAACCAGTAGACAGAAGATTCTCTCTCTCTCTCTCTCTCTCTCTCTCTCTCTCTTCCTCTCAACTTCAACCTTGTCTTTCAAATAAATAAATCTTTAAATTGCAAACTTCCCCCAACCCTGCCCAGTTCACATTTTCCTGACCTTATCTGTAGCACATATCACCATCTGGCGTACTAGTTACACATTTACAGATTTATGAGTTTGCTTGTTTCATTTCCCTGCTGCCTCCCTGCTGCTTCCCCAAGTTATACGCTGCTTAAGGAGGGGAGGGTGGTGCATTCTGCCAAATATTGTATTGCCAGCACCCAGAAGGGCGCCTGGACATAATGATACTCAATAAACATTTATTGAATGAATGAATGACTAAACTGAAAACTCGTGCCTCTCTGATTTTAGGGAACAGCATCTATATTAGGATACTGTGCCGAGAACCACTTGAATATTGTTTTGAAAGTTCTTAAAACATTCCAAGATCAGGAAAAGTTTTTCATGAATCGATGTAAGGTAAAAACAATAATCCCTTCCAAAGACCTTGTTTGTCGCAAGGGCAGATGCCACTGATCACTTCAGTGAATATCTTTTCTCCTTATCGTACTTACTCCTGCCTCCGGGTCCTATTCCAGGTCAGAACTGTACAAGTGTAGCCCCTGCAGGAAGATCAGCTATAGAACAAGTCTGCTCCGTCTTGCCTGTCATTCATGCTGATGGAGAAGTTCATAATGAGCTCTGTGTGTGCCCAGTTTTGTCTCCCTACCAGCCGCTCAGGCTTCCAGAACAGCTTCCTTTGCACATACTCTGCTTCCCCGATGGAAGCAAGGTTAGAATGACTGCATATCAAAAATCCCTCAAAAATATCTCCTAAGGACCAATAAGCTGTTCACATTTGGACAAGAATGTGTTGCTTTTAGACTAACTTTATTCATCCCAGCCCTGTTTCTGAACCCCTTCAGTAGCCTACAAGATTAGTGCACAGTTACATATTTTGTATCTTCTTTTCCTGTTCTTCAGGGCATTTTTTCTGGGAAAAAGAGCCTCACCAAGACTGACGTCATGGTAATCTATGGAGCCGTGGCCCTCCATGCTCCCAAGAAGGAACTCCTCGTGAGGCTTGAACAAGATATTGTGTCCCAAGTCTTGTTTCTTTATGGCCAGTGCTCTCAGGTAAGGCCCATCGCAGGGCTCCCTCGATTTCCAGGCTGGGTCTCTCAACCTTACAGAGGCTCAGCACATTGTTTTCTGAATAGTACCAACCTGACTACTTAAGAATCAACCCCAGGATCACACATAAAATGTGACTTCTGAGAGTCATTTTCTGGGGAGACTGATTCTGTAGGTCTTGGAAGGAGTTTGGAAACATGCATGCTCAGCAGATTTATGGATAGTTCTTATTTATAGGTAGGTGTGTGGAGCTTCTCCCATTGGATTGTCAGCACCCTAATATAGAGAGTGTACCTAAGATGCTTTTATCTACTCTTCTGTATCTCTGCAAACCATATATATGCTCTCTACATGCTCTTGACATTATTTCCTATGTGTAAGTGATAAAGAAAAGAAGCTCCTAAAATCATACACACCTTAGTTCCATGAGACTTGCCTGAAGCGTCTGTTAAAAAGAGATACACCAAGGTAAGCATTTAGCCTAGCAGTCAGCACGCCGGCCGCGGCAGCCATTGGAGGGTGAACCAACGGCAAAAGGAAGACCTTTCTCTCTGTCTCTCTCTCTCACTGTCCACTCTGCCTGTCAAAAAATAAAAAAATAAATAAATAAAAGACTCCAGTTAAGATGCCCACATCCCACATCAGGCATCAGAAAACTTGGGATCAATACCCAGCTTCAGCTCCTGACTCCAGCTCCCTGCTAATGCAGACCCTGGCAAGAAGTGGTGAGGGATCAGGTAGTTAGGTGACTGCCACACACAGGACTTGAACTGAGTTCCCAGCTCCCTGTGGATTGGAGCTCATTCTTGTCCTGTTTCCCTTTCCCTCTCTCCCTCTCTCCCTTTCTTCCTTTCTCTTTTTTCCATTTCTGCTTCTCAAGTAATAAATATTTTTTTAAAAGTAGAGACATCTAATGAATCACAGCCTTTGGGATGGTCACTGAATCTGCACTTTGAACATATTCTTTAGGAGCTGATCTCAAATCTGATAAGCAATGTTGGGAATTGAAAACATAATAAAATCTGTTTATGGTACATTAATTGTTAGTTGATCATTGAGGAAAACTATCACAAAAATAAAAGAGGAACACAGCCAACTCTGATAGAGTTGATAGAGTTCAGAAGGTTGTTGGCTACCAGGTCAAATCTCCTATAACAGAACATATGCATCAGTCAATACAGGGAAAAACATATGGCTTATAAGGAAAACAGAGTTGGAGTACCATACCTAATAAACTCTATTAAGTGACACTAAAAGGGAAAAGATAGGAACCTAATTTCAAAGCAATAAAAGTAATTCTGCCAAAAAATATGACACTTTACCTTGAAACATATGAATTCAGTTGTGAAAGTTATGAGTTATGGAACAGTGAAGGGAAGCAAGATTATCTGAAGTCCAATGTTCAGCTATTATGCCAGACTTAGATGGAAGTGACTCATAACACACAATGGGGGTAAGTAGCTTGTAAGACATGTCGGATGCATGTATGTATGCACAATCTGATTGTTCCTCCATGGCTCAGTTCGACTGTACACATTTCTTCTTACATATAAAACTGCACATTCCCTGTTAAACATAAGAGTAGGAATAAGAGAGGGAAGAGATGTACAATTTGGGACATGCTCAAGCTGACTTGCCCCAAATGGTAGAGTTAGAAACACACCAGGGGACTCCAATTTAATCCCATCAAGGTGGCATGTACCAATGCCATCTCACCAGTCCAAGTGATCAATTTCAGTTCACAATTGATCATAATGAAAGGACTAAGAGTCAAAGGAAGCACATAAACAAGTCTAGTACCTGCTAATACTAACTGATAGAATAAATAAAGGGGAGAGTGATACAACATGGGAAGTGAGATACTCAGCAGACTCATAGAATGGTGGATGTCCTAAACAGCACTCTGGCCTCAGAATCAGCCCTAGAGGCATTCCAATCTGGCTGAAAAGCCCATGAGAGTATTTCAGGCATGGAAAGCCAAGACACTCTGGCAAAAAAAAAAAAAGAATAAAAACCCTAAATGGAAAGATCTCTGTCTCTGTGAGTGAGATCCCAGTGGAAGGAACAGGTCTTCAAAGAAGGAGGTACCTTTCTCTGAAGGGAGGAGAGAACCTCCACTTTGACTATGACCGTGTCTAAACAAGATAAGAGTCGGTGAACTCAAAAGGCTTCCATAGCCTTGGAAACTCATGACTGGAGCATAGGGAGATTACTGATGCCATAAACAGGAGTGTCAATTTGTAAAGTCAACAACAGGAGTCACTGTGCACTTACTCCTCATGTAGGATCTCTGTCCTTAATGTGCTGTACATTGAGACTTAATGCTATAATGAGTACTCAAACAGTATATTTCACTTTGTGTTTCTATGGGGGTGCAAACTGTTGAAATCTTTACTTAATGTATACTAAACTGATCTTCTGTAAAAAAAAAAAAAAAAAAGAAGAAGAAGAAGAAGAAGAAATTATCAATTCCCAACTTGAATCTCACTGGAATTAAACATGACAATAGGTCTGATCTGATTTCATCATCATTTAAAAAATCATCTATTATTTTTCACTTTATGTTTCTGTGTGGGAGCAAACTGTTGAAATCTTTACTTAATGTATGCTAAACTGATCTTCTGTATATAAAGAGAATCGAAAATGAATCCTCATGTGAATGGAAGGGGAGAGGGAGTGGGAAAGGGGAGGGATGCGGGTGGGAGAGACGATATGGGGGGGAAGCCATTGTAATCCATAAGCTGTACTTTGGAAATTTATATTCATTAAATAAAAGTTAAAAAAACTGCACATAAGCATGCATGAAACTAGAACATGCTAAAAATTCGCTAATATATCTATTTCATGGGAATAAATTTGCATTTCCAACACCAGTGTTATAGCAGAACCCACTGTACTCTCAGATGTAGAGTTGGCTGCCCCAAGATTTTCAACTTTATGATTTTTCACTACTCTTTGCCCCAAGAGCCTTGGCCCTTTTTCTTTACCAAAGTCTGTTAGAGCCTCTTTAAATTGGTTCAGAAGCCTGAAAAATCAAAGGCTTGCAGTCTTTATCCTGCTTTCTTCAGCTTACTTGTGATGTATCTGGGGAAAAGAATTTGGCAGTGTACAAGGCCTCACTTTAATAATGGAGGAGAGCAGCCAGCACTGCAGCACAGGTCAACTGCTGCGTGCCACACCAGCATCTCATATCTGAGTGCCTGTTAGAGTCTCATTGTTGTCTCTCAGCTTGACGGGTGGGTCATTTGGGGCTGGAAATATCTGACTGCTGCTTACTGAGTATTTGCTTTTATCTTCAATTTTTTAGGTTCTCGGCGTGTCTGTGATGAACAAGGTATGAGGGGTAAAAATGATGAGGATGATAGATAGGCAGATAGATAGATAAACAGAGGATAAATACATAGATCATGCTTGCTCCCTTAAAGTATGCCAAGAACAGATGTTCTGATGATTTGATTCTAGTGGAAAGGATTACAATATGTAACTCATTAATCCAGTTCTGAAGCAGGATCCAAGAGCCTAATCTAGGACAGAACAAAGGATTATATTCTGGTTCCAGGTGGTTTAGAAGGTGAGCTATAAATTCAGAGGTTTACAGTTTTTCAAACTGTGCGCTACAACCCACAACAGGATTATACAATCAATTTAATAGGTGGCAACCCTCAAAATGATTTTCATTAAATAAAATAAAAGGCAAAACAGAAGAGCACATTGTATATAGCAACAGTATTATTAGACTATTATTTCAGTTGTCTATTAAAAGCAGTTGTAGGCCGGTGCCACGGCTCACTAGGCTAATTCCTCTGCCTTTCGGCGCCAGCACACCAGGTTCTAGTCCCGGTTGGGGCGCCGGAGTCTGTCCCAGTTGCCCCTCTTCCAGGCCAGCTCTCTGCTATGGCCAGGGAGTGCAGTGGAGGATGGCCCAAGTGCTTGGGCCCTGCACCCCATGGGAGACCAGGATAAGTACCTGGTTCCTGCCATCAGATCAGCGCGGTGCACCGGCTGCAGCGCACAGGCCACGGTGGCCATTGGAGGGTGAACCAACGGCAAAGGAAGACCTTTCTGTCTGTCTCTCTCTCTCTCACTGTCCACTCTGCCTGTCAAAAAAAAAAAAAAGCAGTTGTACATATAAGTACTGGGTGAAACTGAAGACTATTTGAGACAAAAAGTTTGGAATCTATTGCTCTAGAAAAATGTCAATCTGTAGTGAGTGGTGCAGGGAGAGAATGATTTTGTTTCTCAACTTCTCTGCAACTTCGATCATAGGCTGTGGTAGAGATGGCAAAAAGAGCAATGGTTCTTACTTCTGTCTTGGCACGTGTTTCAACCCTAACCACGTGTTTGTGGACACAGGTATGGTACCTGAGACCTTGGTTTGCACTGTGACTCCTTTCGCTTTAGGATATGGATCTGCAAATGAGTTTCACAAGAAGCATCACTGAGATCGGCATTGCTGTCCAAGATGCTGAGGACCAGCGGTTCCAGTTTTCCTACAAGGAGCTGCTAATTGGTCGCATGCTGGTGAGTTACACAGATGAAAAGAGAAAGGCCATGGATATTTCAACAGTGAAGAGCTGTCTACTGAAAAATGGATAAAACTCACCAGTGCCACGTGTTAGATCTCTGCCATATTTCTGACTGCTGCATCTGGGAACTCCACACAGCCTTTCTGAAACATGTCACTTCCTTGTCTGTGCTGCAGGACTTCATTAGGGATGAGCCCTTGGATTCCCTAGCGAGCCCTATTCGATGGAAAGCCTTAATCGCCATCAGATACTTAAGGTAGAAAATTTTTGTTGTTCTCCTTGAGAAAATATTTCCTCCCCATGAGTCTTTCTGATCAACTGACATCTATCAGTGTATACTACAGTACATTCTCCCAAAAACAAATACAGTTCACTAAGAGAGCTTTTAAATATGGGGTTTTTTTTTCTTCTCCCAGAGTCAAAGAATTAAAGGATTGACCATTTAATGACTGAAGGGGACTAAAAACTACTCACCAGAATCAGATTTATTGATGTAAAAGGACTGACAATTCTGTGCAAAATGAAATTTCTCTTCCTAGATCTTGACCTATAGGCAAATTTTAATCTTCAGATGAACAAATTAGGAAAGTGTCAATCATATGCTAGTTGGTTAGCAGTAACAAACCTGAAGAAGAAACCAATTAGAAGCAAGTTTTAAAATCATATTTTCCATCCTGCAGTAAAAGAAATGGAAATTTACTGTTAAAAATTGGAAACTATAGAAATAAATTTAATAATTTAAATAAATTTAATAAATATTAATAAATTTAATAAATTTAATAATTACCCATGATCTCTGTATTGTCAAACACACCTCCTCTATTTTTATCACAGAGCTCAGATCCTAATCTGAATATGACTTTTCATCTTGTCTTTTCTCACCTCATGTTAAGTATTTCCAAGTTATAATTTCCTTGTGAATATCATTTTCGCATGTTTTGTCCATTTTGTTATAAAATACACAACACAAAATTCATCATCTTGGTCATCTTTAAATGTCCAGTTTGGGAGAGTTAAGTACATCCACAATGTTATGCAACCAATCTCCAGAATTCTTCACCTTGCAAAACAAACTGCATGCTCATTGAACACAGTTCCCCATCCTCTCCTCCCCCGGCCCCTGGGAACCATCATTCTATTTTCTGGCACTGTGGGTTTGTCTACTCCAGGTTCCTCATATAGGTAAAAATCAAAATACAAAAAATGCAAAACACAGTATTTGTATGTTTGTGATGACTTATTTCACTCAGTATAATGTCCTCAAGTCTCTTCTATGTTATAGCCTGTTTTCTTCCTTTGTAAGGCTGAATAATATTCCATTGTATGCATCCACCACATTTTGTTTTCCATACCAATGAATGCTTGGCTAGCTTCCAGCTTTTAGCTAAAATGAATAATATTGCCATGAACATGCATGCACAAATAACTTTTCAAGACCCTGCTTTCAATTCTTTCAAGTATATACTGAAAAGTGGGATTATTGTATCATACAGTAATTCTATTTAATTTTTTTAGGAAACACTGAGTTGTTTTCTATTGCAGTGGCATCATTTTATATCCCACCAACCATGCACAAGTACTCAAATTTCTCCACATCTTCATCAGCACTTGAGATTTTCTGAATTACACTTTTTTATAGTGGCCATCCTGGTTGGGCATTTGGCTCTGTGTTTAAGATGCTGCTTGGGACACCTCATCTTCTATTAAAGTACTTGGGTTTGAGTCTTGGCTCCACTTCAGCTTCCTATGCTAGCTCCCTACTAATGCATACCCTGAGAGGTCACAAATAATGACTGAAGCACCTGGGCCCTTGCCAGCAGTAAGGAAACCTGGACTGAGTATGAAAGAGAGAAAGTAGGAAAGGGAAGGAGGAAAGAAGTTTCCATCTCATTTTTTCACATATGCACTCAAAACTATAGTAAATGTAGCATCACGTAGAATAAGAGAAGACACAAAATTGATGAAACTCACTGCCCCAAATTCAGAAACTACCTGGGAGGTTTCTCTATCCCTCCCTCCCTCCCCCCTCCCCACACACAGAGAGACAGAGAAAACAAGCAGCTAATGTGATAACAGTTCATTTAATAAGTGTGATAAATACTGCAAAGTGAGTTGTCATTTGCGCACTGCTCTAATAAATTAGAACTGAGGCACACTGCCCATGCTCCTCAGTGCAATCTGACTCTATGTCCCCACACTCTTCCTGCTCCTGTAACCACCTCCCTCCTTACCTTAACGTTTCAGAAAATGTCCCATACTTAGCACATGTTCGTGTTTGGTTGGCCGTTCTTGGGAACTCTACTGAGCATGTTTTATTTGTAATCGCAGTCTCTATCCCTTCACGTGATTCTCGTTTCAGTAAACTGAAACCTCAGCTCTCACTAAATGATAATCTCAATATTCTTGAGGAGAACATTCGGAGGCTGCTGCCCCTGCCACCTCTGGAAGACCTCAAAAATGAGGGTGAGACAGACAAGGACAAGGAACACATTAATGTAAGTGTCAGTGAGGCCCGAGTAGAAAAACTAGCTGTAGGGGGACTTAACTCCCTTGCCTCAGCCTGAGGCTCACCTTTGATTTCAGTTTCTCTATGAACGATCCATGGATGCTCTAGGAAAACTGCTGAAGACCATGATGTGGGATAACGTGGATGCAGAGGACTGCCAAGAAATGTTCAACGTGAGTATGGCTGTGGCTCACAGTGATCCCAACAACACGCCCTCATTTGCCCTTTCATATGTCACTCCAAACCCAACTCGTCTTCTTCCCAGGACAGCATCCATCCTGACCCACCCATTACAATACACAGGGCCAGTCTGTTTAGAAGCTGTTGGGGGAGAGGGTGGTACCTGAGCATCATGCTACAGAATATGGAGGGAGACAAGAAAGTAGAGAAAGAGAGAAAGTGGGAGACAGAATGAGACGAAATTAATATGAAGAATACTAAGGCAAGGCCATTTATTCTTTGACCAATAGCTGCTCCGAATGTGGCTCGTTTCACCAAAAGAGTGGGAAAGAGAAAGAGCCTTCCAGATCACTGCAAAAGTGCTAACACATGATATCGAGGTAAGGAATCCCCCAGAATAAATAGATTTCATCTTTATGAACAAAGAGATCTCTTAAGCCTGTGGGATCCAACACCCCTGCCTGGATGGGTCTGGGGTCCCAGAATGAAGTGTTCTCGAGAGGAACCTCCTGAGTGGGGCTCCTAACTCCAGAGTGTGGCAAGCACACTAGAATTAGACTCTTTGGCTGTCGTTGGGAGCTTGCTTGCTTATTTTTCCATAGCCCTTAAAGAATCAGGCCTTTTTAGAGGAAAATTCAAGATTTGATTCATCTTGAAGAACCTGCAGAAAAAAATGAGAGACTGAAGATCGAGTGTTGCAAATGTCCTCAGATATCCTCTGTCTACCCCATCACATGGGTGTCCCTCCTGCAGGCCCCAGAGAACTTCAGAATCGGTTCACTCCTTGGGCTCCTGGCTCCTCACTCCTGTGATATGCTGCCCACCATTCGTCAGGCTGCTGCCAGTTCAACTATTGGTCTGTTCCATATAAAAGGTGAGGGAAAGGTGAGACACCTGCAATTTTACATAAAAAGAAATAAATAGAGAGAGCGAGAGAGAGAGACCTGTTTTCTTTTGCTCTCAATTTTGTTCTTTGTGCATCTGTGTCTCTCCTTCTTCACCTCTGGTGATTCTTCCCTCTCTCCTTCTCCCCCAACCCACAAATCTTTCACACACACACACACACACACCCCACAAACCCAGTTTACCATTTCTCAGTTCTAATACATTAATTATTTCACATAATGTGTCTCCCTCTTGAATCTGAAACGAGTCATTTTTCCTCTTGGTGATTCTATTTTCTTGGGTTTTTTTAAGCAAAAATAACTCCAAAGCATTTTAGAGAATTATAAAAATAGGTAAAATGCTTTTAGAGTCTTTAATTTAAATCACTGAGCAACTGGGCAAATTAGTAATGCTTCCAGTGTCCCATGATTTTCTTCAGGAGAAAATTGCACTACTATTATGGTGCTGAGTGACTTGCAATGTTCAGTAATAGAAAGGACTTGGTGGAGGATTTTCCAGCTTGCAGAGCAGGACCTCCTCCTGTTCACCAAGTACAAATGCATAGCTGTCAATATCGTAAAATAGAAGGCATCTAAAAACTTCAATCTTAGGCTGAAGCCCACAGTCAAAGCCTCCTGTCCAGAGTAAAGCAGCAGGTGCTCACTGAGGACAGCCCTAATGAAGGGCTGCATGTGCAGCCAGGAACACTCGGTCTAGATTTAATGATGTCTCATGCCCGCATTCAACCTCATCATCCTCTCGGTTGCTCAAAATACTCACTGAATGCTTTTCAATGTGTCCAGCACTGTTCTGACACTAGGGGCACAGAGGTATGGCAATCTAATACTTACACATGAAAAGCACGTTAAAACCAAAACATGGGATTTGGTTGAGGGGGGAAGAAAGGGTGGGAGTCAATCAAGAAGAGAAAACTATTCAACAGGATCAGAGTAGGTGTGAAAGTCCTTTGGATTATTCACTATGGATATATAATTTCACCACACTTGAGGGTTGGGGGCAGGAGAGAATTAAGGAAGTGAGAACTAAGAAATTATTTCATTAAGAGAAGAAATGTGCCAAAAGGAAAATTCACGGGAAGAAAGGAATTTGAATGGAATTTGAATTTATTACTGTTGGATCTATTCTTCTTTCAGGCTACTTTATTTTTCCGAAACCAAAAAAATTCAGGCCCTCCAACACATTGCTAACAGGAAATCCCATACTTCATAACTCACATTTTGTCTTGATTGGTCAATTAAGCATGGTAGGGAAAGAGGCACATGTAACTAGTGTGGAACTAAATTAAATACCCATTCATACTGATGGATGTTGGTCAATCAGTTTGTGGTAAGAAATCTGAAATTAAGAGATTTACCAGTTACTTGGGCCACTGACAGGAGCATGGCCAGGCTTTGAGCCTAGAGGTAGCTGGCTCTTAAACACATGTGTAGTCCATTGAGCTAGACTGCCTCCCACAGAATGGTTCATGTTATTTTCCATAGTTACCATATATACAAATATCAGAGAATAGTTATTGTTTACTTATGTAGTTTCAGATATAGACTTCTAATACAATAATTACTTTTCAATTTCCTTCAAGGTAGCCCTGAAGAATGGGACTCCAGAAAAGTTGGCAGCTTAATAGGATGGTTAGAGCATGATGGGCATTTTTCTCAGGCAGACCAGGGTTCAAACTCTGACTCTCCTATTTTCACTTACTGTGTGATCTTGGGCAAATGGAACTCCTATGTGGTTTTCCCTCTGTTGATTTTTAGGCATTCACCTAGAAGCTGAGAGGCTGCAGGGTTTACCAGAAGGGCTGGAATGTGATGATGTACAGGTTCAGATCAAGATTTCTTCTAAAATAGCTAAGGTAAAAAATATGGATGACTGGCCACGGGAGGTAAGGATGGTTCTGGGTTGATTTCCAGATACATAAATTATATGCCCTTTACTACCAAGGAAGGTCACAGTTTAGACATTCAAGCTAAAAGACCTTTCGTCCTATCATTTATAAACTTTGGGTACAGATGCCTAGCCAACACCTTTTATTGGTTGCTTCATTCTGTGGGATATCTTGTGAACTAAGTTGCCATCCCTCGGGGTACAAAGTGGAGTGGGATGGAATGGAAGGAACAAGAGCTTTGGAGTCAATCACATGTGCTCTGTGTGCCCTTTTTGAAATCCAGGGTCTTTTTGAAAATAAAGACCATGGCTTACCTCTCAGAGTCATTGTGAGGATTGACTGATCAAGCCCACTATCATTCAACTGTGGATTCATTCAACTACTTTCTACTGAGCACCTACCATATATACCAGGCTCTATTCTAGGCTTTAAGAGTAGGAAAAGAAATCCTGCTTTCACTGAGCTTGCATCCTAGCAAAGGGAGTCAGACAACTAACATAACATCTGGTGATAACTGAAAAAGAGAATCAAGTAAGGGAGAGGTGATCCTCTAGAGAAGGCCACTCTCTGTGTAAGAAAGTCTGTTCCAGGCAGAGGGGAAGGAGCACATGGCAGGGTCCTGAGGTGGAGAAAGTGGTGGGAAATGAGATCCAAGAGAGAGTCAGACACTGATTCAGGGACCTTCAAGGCCTCTTTACACACCATGTTTTCTACTCCTATTGAAACAGAAAGTTTTGAGCTGAAGAGCCAGGACCACTAAGTACAAATGTGCCTGCTGGGGAATGTACAAAGGCAGAACCATTCAAATGTGGACATTATAGCAATTTTCCCTGGATGACAGTAAAAGATCCAACAGAATTGCGATCTCTGAGAGTACATGGCAGATTATGACAGTACATATACACAGAAAAGTGAAGTATTGTGAGGACAGGGCACATTTTCCCAGTTTGCAAAGTCCCCTTATGGGTGATCAGTGGTTCTGGAAAGAGAAACACAAAACATACTTCTGAATATATACATGTATACACTGGCTGCTGTGAGAAGACTAGACTATATACTGATAAGAGCAAAACTAATGAAATCAGTTTAGAGGAAAGTGATTTCAAGCTTAAAACTGGTGGAAGCTACTTCATAGACCAAGATGGCAGCAGCAGAGGCAACAGGAAATTGGTCAAAATATAAGAAAGAAGCATTTTTGGGAACAGAGAGAGAAATATGGCAAACGCCTAAGAAAGTATCTGATACATAGTAAGTGCTCTAAAATAGGTTCCATTCCTTCCTTTACTCCTAACTCACTGTCCATCCCAACATGATAATGAAATAGATGGAGAATGGACACCATACAAGCATTTAGCATGACATAGAACAGTAGAGTAGTCTTGACACTCTTTTGAGCTTGAAACCACCGTGATTCAGAAAATGGCAGGCATGAAACTACTCATAGAAAGGAGCTCTTCTTATCTAAACATCATCAGACCACTTCATGCAAGGGCAAAATCAGTTGTGAATAGGAATGCTCTGATATCTATAAGCTCGTGGTCATTACCATGTTGCTTAGAGAAAGCCCCAAATAATGGTCCTGGAATGCATTCAAACTGCTAATCCTTTACCTGCCTCCCCAACCCCTTCTCATTAATGCACATACACAGACATACATGTTCATATTCACACACAACTATCAAGCAAAAACACTGTAGAGCTCTTGGACCTGGAGACCAAATTGCAAAGTTTTTATGTTTTTGACCTCTCGTTGATTGCTCTTAATATTGAAGAACAAAGGAGCGAAAAACAAGTATCACAGTAGTCCATGCCCCACACAGATACTGTCAGCCACATGAGCATTTGGCAAGACGCTTAGTACATGATGACAGATTTTCCTGAATTCTCAAGGCTTAGCTATTCTTCACCAGACATATTTCTAGGATATATGAAATGTATGTGAAAGTACTTTACAGTCTAAAATTGCTTGATATGTATCATTTTTCCTTTATGCAGCATGGTATCAGTTTGGATTTGGAGAAGAAATTGCCTCAGCAGGCTTGGGATTCAATAAGTACAGAATGATAAAAAGGAAGCTTCAGGGAAAGTTTGCGTAGGACTAGAAGGTCGCATCTGAGTCGTATTTTAGTATTTTCTCTGATTTCTGCAGCTTCAGTCATATGATAACTATTTGGGGAGTCCGGCAATTGCTAATACCTTAAAATAAACAATAGCAGCCTGTTGTAGCTGTCCAGATATAAAGGACACTATTTGATAACATCAGTCTCTCTGGGTGCATTCTCAGATTGTCAGTAAATTCATCCCAAGTGAAGAAATTCAGATGTTCCTGGAGGAATCGCTGGATGGTTTGGAGAACCTCAACCCCATGTGTACGAAGGCCTGTGGCATATGGATGATCACCGTCCTGAAGGAGCAGGGAGCTGCCCTGGAAGACCAGGTGAACTGACAGCCACATTTGTGAGGGAGTACAACTGTAGCCCTTCTGCAATGCCAAGCTGGTCACCACTTCTCAGTTGGTCCTCTGAGAGGCAACAGGCAAGAACACTCACAGAGGCCTCAGCAGAGATCTGCGATGTAGGGTAACAAGGTTTCTGTTGAATGCCTGTCTCAACTGCCTGGCCAGCCCCTGCTCAGAAACTTTACAGGTAGCCCCACTCTCGCTCAAGGAAGCAGCTCTAAACCAATACCATTTGGGTTATGCCAAACTGGGTTGTTAGATATGTGAGAATGAGATTGACCATGTGGATGCCTTTGAGATGCCCTTCAAGGGCCATGAGAGTTTCTAATCCCCCTGCAACTCTTCAGTCTTTTCTTTCAGACACACCATAGGGTTTACTGTCTGGTAAGCAAGGCTGCATGGGGCCGAGAAAGTCCTCAATCTCTCCTCCTCACTGGAGCATCAGGCAGGGGAACAGAATTTAAATTCAGGAAGTTTGATTAAGAGCTCCAAATGGAGCTAACCTCTATTCTCTCTCCTAAAATCAGGGACAGAGTACAAGCTATTCGAAGATTAAAAAGGAAGAAAAAAATCTTTAACTAAATGGAGGTATCTTAAGGTGAATAAGAGAAAGAAGTTTGCATTCTCATTGCCCAAAGCTAATTCCTATCAATTTTTAAATCCTGTGAAGTATAGATTTTATGTAAAGGCATCAGAAATTGCCTCTGTGCTAATTAACTTCCAGCAAGTCTTTTCAAATGATTCTTTTAAGAGTTATTGAGCCTACGCTGGGTAGTAGGTACTGGAATTGACACGAAAGAATCCAGGATAATAACTATGGAATGCCCATGCATTTTCTGTGTTTAGCATATAAGAAGGAGTTCCTCACACAAGAGGTAAAGTTCTCAATAAGAATTTAAATCCTCTCCAAGGATCACTGAAATGAGACTCTTGGTAATTATATTTAGTGGACACTTATGATTAAGAAATTGTAATTCAATGTTTTACTTAAACAAATGTCTAATTTAAAATTCTGCTTAAAATAAATAAGAGAAATATCTATGTTATTTTAGTGTAGATACATGCCTTTGCCCATGTCAAAAGTCTAAATGTATACCATACCTTCCCAACCACACTATAACACCCAACATTAGAAAGAGGACTTCATTGCCCTCCGGGATCTGATTTCATCTTTTCTATCAGTCAAGTTCCTTTCATCATCCTCATTCTCTCTGTTCTCCAAACTCGACCATTCTTTTACTCCAGAAATCTTGATTTTCTTTTTTTTACTACCCATGCTGCCATAGTTTTGTTTTTTTTTTAAGAAAATAGAAAAAAAAAGTTTGACTCTTTAGAGAAATTTTAGGTTAAAGAAACAATGAAGCAGAGTGCCCTCCTCCTGCCCCTACACATACACAGTCTCCCCCACTATCAAGATCCCATGCCAAATTGTACATTTGTCACAATCAATGAGCCTATGTTGACATGTCACTATCATCCCAAAGTCCATATTGGACTTCAGCACAAGCCTGAACCTCAGGGCTTACAGCTTATTCTTGTACAATCTGAGTTTTGACAAACATAGAATGACATGTATCCACATTACAAAATCATGCAGTATAGTTGTGCTGCCCTAGAAATAACTGTGCTCTGTCTATCCTTGTGGTTTTTTGATTCTACATCTTTACCTGCATCCTCTCTGACAAAGATGCCCTTCTCCACCATCTCCACTTTGCCCTTAGGAGTTGCTACAGATACTTTAAGATCTAGAACAAATGCCAAAATAACTCAGTTCCTTCTGGATTCCCCAGTCCGTTCTATGCCCTTGTTGTTACCATTTGCAATACACTGACTTGAGGACAGTCCTTGGGGTATGACTGGTAACCTTCACAAAATCACTCCTTTTGCAAGAGGGATATGTCTTTGCCATCTTTGGTAAATTCCTCACAGTGTTCAGGCAGCAACTAGCATAATGCACCCTTTCACTAAATGTTCAATCGAATTAAGAATAAATACTCCGTTGATCAATAGTCAAACAGTATTTTTCACTTTATGTTTCTGTGTGGGAGCAAACTGTTGAAATCTTTACTTAATGTTTGCTAAACTGATCTTCTGTATATAAAGAGAATCGAAAATGAATCTTGATGTGAATGGAAGGGGAGAGGGAGTGGATAAGGGGAGGGTTGCGGATTGGAGGGACGTTATGGGGGGGAAGCCATTGTAATCCATATTCTGTACTTTGGAAATTTATATTCATTAAATAAAAGTTTAAAAAAATAGTCTTCCTGAGTGAGACAGAGGCCACAAGTAGAATCAACTATTATCTTTAACATTGTTTATAATTCATCAACCACTTACCTACAACATATCAATGATACCATCCCTGAGTTGTTCATGTAGAGGGAAAATGGCAACTTAATGTTTGATTTGGCTTTTTCTTTATAGCTGATGGACGTCCTGGGCACAATTTACCATCACATGCCCATCCTCAGACAAAAGGAGGAAAGTTTCCAGTTCATGCTCGAAGCCATCTCCCAGATAGCCAGCTTTCATATGGATGCAGTCACTGTCCACCTGTTAAAGAAGCCTCTGCCCTTCGACAGGTAGGGTCCAGTGGAACTGGTCCCTTCTCCCAGCAAAGGCCAACCTGCAAGTCATTGGGGATAAATTCATTATTTGAGAGGAAAATAGCAAGCAAAGGTTGAAAATATCTCACCTGAAAAACAATTTTACAAATGGGTGCTTGCAGCATGATATTTTACCAAATGTTTTTTTATTGAGTGATAATGAGATTTTAAAAAATGTACCATAGGAATAAGTGAATATTAGAAAGTGAGTATTTCTCCCCACTATGGCTGCCTAGAATGCACCCATGTGAGAGGTTTCCATCTTGACAGACCTTAAGAAAACTCAGTAATCCAAGACCAGGATTTTGAATTGTTAAATAAATCATCTTTATTTTCCCCAAGCATGACAGCAGGTCCATTTGCTCTTGAAGTTGTGATTAGTCATAACACAGTTTTAGAGTGATTCAGATTGAGTCAGATGGAAATGCTCGCAATTCAAGCAGCCATGCCTTATCTATCAACTTCCTGCCTTGCCACCCTAGGGATACAAAGATATTGTGGAAGGCACTGGCAGAAAATCCAGCCTCCAGTGGTAAGCTCATGCAAACCTTGATAGAAAAACTGGGGATCGGGTTAGAAGATGACATCGCCGGGATAGAAGCAATCTCAGTGAGTTGTACCACTTGTCCTTGCCTAGAACCCTACCCTGTTCCATGATCTGTGCCCATCTGGAACTTGGTGCTGCAATAATCACACTTATTCCCTCTCCTGCATCCTCACTTTAACTCTATTCTAGTTTATGTTGGACAAATAAGGCAGTGATTTTATCTGTAACTAATCATTTTTAGAAGTAAATTTTGAGTCAGCCTCAAAGAAAATGACATATATATATTTCCAAAGTAGTATGCAAGAATCCAAAATACCCTCTTTTGTTGAAAAGCCCCAATACAGACAACATTTCAACTTATATGACCAGTGCCTGCTGATGGTCATAGTACCAACATGGCAGTCCTGAGAAGGAAACACAGTCTGGGTTGAGAAGTTTCCAGACAAATAAGCCCTCTCTTTTCTATGTGTTTTTACCCTGGGCATGGTTAACTTGGAAAGCAACCACTGAGAGAAGATGGCCTTTGAGGAAAGAGGCTACCTGGCTAAAAGGTCCTTTCTCCCCTCAGGAAGCCTGTGCTATGTATGAAGTGGTCACAACAGGCATCCTCATCACTGATGTATATCCAGAGCTGTTTGTTCTCCTCCTGAAGCTGGTCAGTGTCACACTGGGCCAGAAGATGCCCACTGCTAACGTGAGCCACAGGCGGCGAACGATCCAGCAGGGAGAGCGGCAGCAGATCCCAGACCCCTGCAGGTAAATGGCCAAGCAGGGAGAGCCTTCCAGAACTCTTCTGATCCGAGACTCCAGAAGAGAGACTGAGAAAGGCAGGGCCTGGGACTTCTGGCATGGCATCAAATACCTGTGAGGAAACAAGGTTCTACTGTGCTTAAGCTATATCAGCCCTTGCCATTCCTGTTCCCTGAGACAGCACCCAGAACGGTCACATAAGGAATACGGGGCTCTCCCTTCTTCCCTAGAGAGCTAACTCTATGTATCTTTGCTTTCCTTCACTGAAAGCTTTCTAGAAAAGCTGACATTCTGTAATAATCAAGGCTAAGAAGAAACATAAAAATACATTTCATCAAATATAAAACTCAACCAACTGAAATAAAAATGCTATTTGAGAAAAAAAGACTCCAAATTAAGTCATGAATTAATGGTTTCTTATACTACCAAAGTTTTATTTTGTATTTATCAAAAAATACTTGTAGATTATGAGGTATAAATGTTCATCCTATATTGTATCATTCTGCTTCTCTGCCCTTTCGTATAACTTTTCATTCCAATGTTAAATCATCATGCAACCATTTTAAAGACATTTTAATTTTCACTTGTTTGCTTGGAAGGCACAGACAAACAGACAGAAAGAACTCCAACCTGCTGGCCTGCTCCTGCAATGCCTTCAATGCCTGGGGCTGAGCTAGGGTTAGGCTGAATACAAAGCAGGAGCCAGGAACTCAAACCAGGTCTCCCATATGGGTGGCAGAACTCAATTACTTGAGCCATCATCACCTCCCAGATACGCATTAGCAGGAAACTGGAAACAGGAGCCAGAGTCAGGGGTCAAACCCAAGTACTATCATGTGGAATGTGCACATCTTAACTGCTAAGCTGTAAACTCACGAAATGAAGACATTATAAACAGCATTTATACTCAATACATGCAATCCCAATAATACATGTAACTTTACTAAAATGACAGCAGTGAAAAGAGCTCTGTCTAAATCCATGCATGTCCATGTCACTGCACAGACAATAGCAACTACATTAAAGCTACCGTCTGGTCAACAATAATTGTAACACACCATATACTGCAGGAGACATCTTGATTTCAAATACAGTATTCTAGAATCAATGAAATACAATATTTTTCACTTTCATCCTCAGGGCTTTTTTTGTCATGGGGCATTGATGAGATTTTGAGGCATTATTTGCTGGCTCAAGCTATCTGAATATCTACTTTAAAACCAAGGCTAAAGTATGAGAGCAAGTCTGCCTGTGTTTCCTTTGCAGAACATCCAATGATCCAGGAGTGATAGATCATTATGGGGAACAGAAATTGTGAAATTCCCTGTATGGAGTTGGCTTGCTTTTGCAAATGCTGACTGTCTCCATTAAGCTCTTGACGGCAACGGACTTTCTCCTTTTAGGCTCTCAACTGCAACTCTGAAATGTTTGCAAACCCAAGCCATGAGAGAAGGCCTTGCAAAAGAATCTGATGAGGGGGACAACTTATGGGGCCTACTCAGCAGTCCTGCTACCCATCACATAGGAGTATGTGCACTGGCCAGGTAATATGCAGATACCAAGGAGAAAACCAAATCCAAAAAAATAGAAATGTAATACAGGCAACTTTGCTGACAGTAACTGACCCACTTATGATTTTTAGTCAATGGAGAACAGGGAAATAAGAGCAAAAGAGAGTGGTAAGAGATGCCAAGATCTGTCCCAAACCCCAAACACCCTTCAAAAAACAAATCAAGTGAGCAATTTTAGAAAAACTACATTTAAATTGAACTCCTGGATAGGCTATTTTAAAGTTTAAGGTTTGTGATCTTTGATCAAGTGTTTCTTTTTAGGTAAATTATTTGTCTGATGAACAAGTAGACTAAGATTTCCTACATTGTCCTAAAAAAAAATACTCTCTGCTAAAATCTTCCTTTTCTAGGAGCATGGCAGTGTGGCAACACAGAGTCATACTGGAAATCATGGAGCAACTGTTCTCATCTCTCACTTCCTCATCAGAGAACTACCGAATAACCGGCACAGCTTTCTTCTCTGAGGCAAGAGAGAGCACCCATCAGAGCATGCTCACTGGGTCCCTTTGGAGTAGTTCTCTCAGGGTCTACAGCTCAGAAAGAGCTGTACGCATGGAAGTGAGGTCTTCATGGTGACATTTTAGTAGTGGAAGGACCAGCTATTGCCTCAGATACCTACACCAGGAGCAAAGTAGCAGGCAGTAATCACTCTCAGCTGCCTCCTGCCTTCTGGTCTGCAGAAATCAATCTTCCAGGGCAAAGAAGGGAGGGGAATAAATCTGGGAGGGTAAAAAGCAAACAGTAACCACCATTTATAATATTACTGACCCTTCCAACTCTGGTATAAAGATGAGCCCAGCCAATCCAGGGATGAAACATCATCAGTGATTCCTGCTTTCTCTGCCCCACCTGTTCATTCAGACTAGAAATGCCCTTTTCTCTCATTATCCTGTTCCTGTCATCCCATAGCCTTGGCTGTGGGCTGTTCACATCTAGAGCTTAGCTTCTGCAAGACATGCTGATTCCTACAAGGGCTTCTTCCTCTGTTCTACAAGCAGCAAGGAGCTCTCTCTATCTGTAGTCCTTATGCCTTTGGCAGCTTCCTGAAAGGAGGCCACTCGCCTAACTAAAGGAGAGGAGTGTGTTGATTTCAGCTCATGAAGGAGTCGATCCTTTGGAAGCATGGGAATCTGCGGGAGGTACTGATCTTGATGGATCAGAGTGCCTGGGACTCCAATGCCACTCTGAGGCAAATGGCCATCCGAGGACTTGGCAACACAGCGTCTGGAGCCCCTCACAAGGTAAAAGGTGTTCTTGGGGAAAACAGTCCACCTCAATAGAGTTTTGAAATAATTATTTACTAACCTACTACTCTAGTGGTTGCAAGATATTAAATGAAAATCCAAATAAATTGCTGAACTGGTGGCTCTTGAGTTGAAGCACTTGTGACTCTAACAGAATTTTAATTTCCTCATCTGGGGCCTCCTACCCTATTCCAGATATACACAGAACAATTTCCCAGATTAAAGGGCCTTATTTCAAAATAGGTGAAGAAGCACAAGCAGCTAATGTTAGAATCCATCATCAGAGGCCTGTATCACTTGGCTCGCACCGAAGTCGTCTGTGAGAGCCTGAAGGCACTCAAAAGGATCCTGGAGCTACTCACAGACAGAGATGTGAGCTTCTACTTCAAAGAAATCGTGCTGCAGACTAGAACCTTCTTTGAAGATGTAAGTGAGCCTGTTCAGGAAGCTTCCCTACCCAGAAGAAGTGAGTGAGCGGGAAAAGGTTCAGGTAGTGCTTGTAGAAGACAATGTCAAGGTCCCCCCCCCAGATTCTTTGCCCTGCACCAGAGGCCACCTTCATCTAACATCCATGCGGACTGTTGCTTTCATGCGTCTGTCTGCCTGTGGGTGATCCCAGCCTAGGAACCATAATAGCTCTAAGCAGTGTGGGCCAAAGCTGTCGGGGGAAGAGGGACCCTGGGAAAAACCTTCAGACAGTGGGAAACAGGAGTTTGTAGATGAATCCCCTAGCTTCCTCAGTACTCAGGCAGTTTGAGCTCCATTTGCTCATAAAGGTAACACACTCGTTAATAATCTTTGTCTTAGCTTTTTTCCCCTCCCTTTCTCATTCCCACTTTCCCAGCATGCTTTTTCAACAACCCTTCCAAATAAGTTACTTGTACTTCCAAATCTTCATCTCAAGGTTTGTTTTGGGAAAAACACAAATTATGGCAGTACTCAAGGCTGTACAAGAGCCTACCTAGCAACAATGCTGTCTCCAACACTGTCTTCTCCACTTCCAAGACACAAAGACTCGTTTCATCTGGAAGTCAGTAAACTACAGCCCATGGTCCAATTCTGGCCCTTGGCCTACTTTATAAATAAAGTTTTATTAGAACACCTATTAGTTATATATTATCTAGGGCTACTTTCACGCCACACCAGCAGAACCAAAGTCTAAATTATTTACTGGCCAGCCTCTCGCACAGACAAAATCTGCCAACCCCCTGATCTAATCTACAGCCTCATTTCAAAAAAGATCAATTGGCTATCCTAGGCAGAGAAGGGTCTTTTTCCTTATATCTCCCTGGGAACTAGATTTTGGTATTTATTTTTGCTTTATTCACTGCCATCAATGTCAAAATCTATTTTACGTCTAATTCAAATCTATTATTTTGTCATCTAAACCTGCCTGCTCTTGTTCTGTTGTCAGAGAAGATGGAAAACTGCTAGTTTCCTTCCCCCCGGTGCATCCTTCATAAACGTCAAAGTTTTATTAAATTACCTACTTACCTTTGAGTCTCCAGATTGAAAAGTCTTCATTTCCTCCATTATTCTTCACAAATCTAATTTTTCTGCTCATTAAATATTTTACAAGCCAATGACTGGGTTGTGTGTCTAAATGAGGCCCTAGAAGTATTGAATACAATCAAAAGAAAAATTGCCTCTCAAGTCTAACCTTATCTCATTTATTTGCTCCATTTTTCTTTAACCTTGCCCCTTCCTCCTCACTTTCTCAATTTGTTAACCATATGGAACTCAAGACTTGAATCTGCACTATATACTCACAGTTAATAATTCAGTTTTGTATTTCTCACTTAATTATCCTAAACCTGATCTTTGAAAGCTGCTTCCTGACTATTTCTAATTATTTTCTCCAATTTACCAACATCACTTTTAATTTTCACTTCATCCTCAAAACTGCTTATTGATCTCCCTCCAAATTTAGTATCTTCTGTTGCAAGAAGAAAGTGACTGTGTTTTTTTCTTCAATATGAAGACGATTGATGATAAACTATCAAAAGAAAAGGCTGAAATCATCACTACAGCACCATCTGTTAGGTTTTCTGAGTTACTGGTGACCCAATATTATTAATCATTCTCTTAGACCAGAGCCTCCAGTAAATCACAAATTTGCCTAACAGTTTTGTGCTCAAGATAGTGTTTCTCAGTGTTTATACAGAAGAAAAAAAGAGAGGAAACCTAAAATCATGCCATTCTCATTCCTGTTAGATCTCAAGTCCCTCACATTTGCGTAAAATACAGTTTGACCAAATTTGGGATGCAGTAATCACATGTTAGTTGTTCTCTAATATTACTCTTTATACAATTACATTTAATTCTGTGATTCTTCACCCCTGTATTCTCATAAATAGACTTAAGGACACCATTTGTACTCACCAAGTTTTCTCTTTTTTTTAATTCCTGTGAATATGGAAGTATTTCCTTGGAATTCTCAAAATGTGGGACCACTTCAAGGAAACAGTAGAACAGAGAACATGGCGGTCCCTCATGTTCCTGTACCTTCTTGCTAATGTTCCCTCCCTGTCCCTGAGCAATCACTTTACTCTCTGAAACTCTGCTTTCTCATATAAAAGTGAATACACTTACTAGATGCCCTCAAATATCTCTGCCACCATCCAGTGAACTTTTGACACTTCTTTTTTCTGCTTGCTCATCATCCCATTGCTTGCTTCTTCCTGGACTTATCATTAGACCACTGACTTTTGGAAAACTCTAAAATTTTGTTTTTTAAGAAAACACCTCTCTGTGTTTATGAAATGTGTGCAAATAAAATAAAAGACGTTTTGTTCTGACCAAAAAAAAAAAAGAAAATACCTCTATCTTTTTAGCATTTTGTTTTTGGTTTGCTTTCATTTTATAAAAAGAGATCTTTTAATAATGTCTTGACCTTATCATTAATCTATTTAAATGAACATCATTCTACTTTTATTTCTATTATACAAGATCACATTTCATATATTTATTTAGCCTTTCTGGCCTTTTTTCCGATTAGCCATCTTTACTTTTTTAAAAGATCTATATTAACTTCCTTTTGGTTTATTGTTTAACTAACTACTTAGGACCAGTTTTCCTTTTTTCCCCTCTGTGTTCATAGGGGTATTTTAAACTACTTTCCCAGGCCTGGGGGAAGAAATAACAACTTATTCATCTAAGTTCTTCCTTCCTTCCTTTCTTTCAGTTGGAACTCTGAACCATACAAGCAAAGTCCATAATGTAAGATAGCAGGAGGCCAGCTTCCTCCACCACCTGAACTTTTGTGTCCTCACATACTTAAAGTAGGGCTGGGCACTTACTTGACACCCAAGGTCCAAATCCTCAAGCTGACGGTAATCCCTTTAGAAAGTATTTGTCATCTTGGAGAGAGTACTAGTATTTGGCGTAGAATCCCAGTAACTCTAAGCTAGCAATGTAATCAGCCTTCTATGTTAAAAACACACAACTAGCAGGAAGCACCAGCTCCCCCCCAGTCTGCTGCAGGCACTCCTGTTTATCCTTCCTGTGAAAACATTTTCCTGCTAGCTACTCAAAGACAGGAGTCCAGTCTCCAGGTCTATGGCACCCTGTCAACACCAACCCCAGGGTTTGTTAACCGTAGGACACACTGACAGCATCTGGGGAGGGTACAGCATTTTGGGAACATACAGAGGCTGTGACAAGGTCGCAAAGGCCTGGAATCCAGCCTGCCTTTGCTGAAGTGGGGTAGAGTGAGGTGGAAGCCATGTGGAAGATTCTGTGAGATGATATTCACCCACCACATGCATTTGTCACCACAGGAGCAGGATGATGTGAGACTGACGGCCATCTTACTGTTTGAGAATCTGTCATCCTTAGCAGGAAAAAGATGGAAGGGATTTTTTGCTGAAGAAATAAAAAAGAGCATGATTTCATTCCTTCTCCACCTCTGGGATCCCAATCCCAAGATTGGAACTGTAAGTGGCCCTCCACAGGCACCTGCACCTCCTCCTCTCCCCACAGCTGAGAAGTACTGGTAAACCAGTCTGGCTGGACTATTAAGCCAGATGAACCAGGAAAGCTTTTCTACCATTCTGGATTATTTCTTGCCATCTCTTCCCAAGTTATTCTTCTGCCCTTGATAGTGGGAAAGCACCAGCAATGACAGCAAAGCCCTTCACACCTCCGACTTTTATTCCTCCTTTCCCAATACTAAAGAGCATTTCTTTCTTCCAGAAGAGGATCCTAGCATCATGGTTGTGACACAGGAACTGTTTTCTAGGCCTGCCGTGATGTCTTGATTGTCTGCGTTCCTTTCCTGGGGCTGCAGGAACTCTATGGAGTTTTAGACCGTCTCCTTGATCAGGATCTACCAAGGGCCAGGGATTTCTACAGGCAATTCTGTGTGAAATTGGTGAGTGTACAGTGGATGCTGCCTCCAAAACATCAGGATAAGACTCCACAAATCTCAGAAGAGCAAACCACATAGCAAGGAATCTCTAGACAAAACCAGAAGTATCTTGCAAGGATAGCAGTGCCTTTTGGTGTCCTGCCTCATTTCCCTCTGCTCCTTTCCCAAGTCATGACTTGGATCTGTTCTCCTAGGTTTCTGAAATTCACATCTATTGAACAGTCCCTTAAACCCCAGATTACACAGAGATCAAAATAGCCATAAGATGTCTTTCAATCAATAATGTGTGGCTGTAACATCACTCACTGTCCTTTCCAGTTCCCTGCTGAGGATGCCAAAGGTCATTTCCAGTCGTGTGAACTTTGCCAAATACACTTTACCTCTTCTAGGCAAAGAAAAACCAGGAGATTCTGTGGATCCTACACACACATTCATTCACCTTCTTCACCAGCAACTGGGAGATGATCAGGAGTGCAGCTGTCAAACTCACAGGTGAGCTCACACCCTCTTTTCCTACTCAGGTTCAATTGCTGTTTTCCCTCAAGTGTTGCTTTGGAAGCTACTCCAGTGTGCACTGGTATGACTGAAAGAAAGCAAATTAAAAGGCCAGGAAAAATTCATTTTATGTCTTAAAACAGCTTTCCTGAAGCAAACTTGTTTTCTTTCTCTTGCAAATGAAAATGCGTAACTTCTCCTGACTTAGCAACACTCACTCCCCTCCCAACAGATGAGTCTCCCTACCAGGCCCATGTGCTTCTTCTGGTTCAAAGTCATTGTTCCTTCTTTTCCCTAAGTTGTTGCTTCAAGCCTGCTGTCCCTGCAGACATACTTTCCTTCATTTCACCTCTTAATACAAAAGTAAACCAAGCTCAATAGCCTATGCTCAGTTCATGCTGAGAGTTTGTAAAGCAACATGGTGGAAGTGTAGTTTGTTGATGTGACAGCCAGCCAGCCTTGGTGCCACTGTGTTATTCTGGACAACTGACTTCACTTCCCTCTTACCTCTCTGATGATCCTTCCATTATGAAATTCTAAGTCTTATCTTGAAAGCTATTCCCACTAATGCAGCTCACAATCAACAGACCTTAAAAATGAATTAAAATCCAAGGTTTCATTAATGAATCATGGAAGCTTTTTTAAAACAGGGTCCATATCTACATAGATTTGAACCCCTGGCAACAACTGGTTCCCTTGGAAGACCATTGTGTGAACTTTGCCAAATACACTTTGGATGAGTGACCACTTTCAAAAATAGCACTGAAGAGCCAAAAGAATGCACCATCATATCATCAATGTGATGCAAAAGGGGTTATATAATTTGTTCATTCACTGGACAGACCGGTTTGTCTTCTAGTGAGCAGCTGAGTTAACCTTATCTGCTTTTCACCTGTAATGAAATCAGCAATTTATTCTCCTGTTGACTTTAGATGCCATTGTTCTCAATTTGACCAGCCAATATGTGGAGTTATTAGATAGAGAACAACTGACCACACGTGAGTACTAACCCTAGTTTCTGCCTGTTATATTGTTAACATCTTAATGGAAAGAGAAACTATTGCTACTCTAAGTCCCATATGAACCCAAAAACTGAAAATCTTAGTACCTGATTATTGTCTCTGATGCCCTACAGGTACTGGAATTTCTCCAGAGTATAAAGCAACCTTTACTCTGCCCCTTTGCAGGCATTCTTTCCAACAGACTACAATATTCTAATTGTGTAAACCTATTGATCACAAGGTCAGGGTCTTCTCTTCTTCTATTTTAATTATAAAAATAGTGTCTCAACATGTAGGTCCAAGTCCTACTCTTTAGGGCAAACTGTGAGCATTAAGACCTAAACCCCAAGTAGGGCTGACATTCAGTAGTGAGCTATGCAGGGCTGCATAAATTGGACCGTGGTTTGGGTTTTTCTTCTTGCTGGCTCTGGCTCCCCATTTCCTTAACTTTGCTATTCTTTCAATTTCAGGGCTCCAAGCACTTCGGCAAGACCCCTGTATCAGTGTCCAGAGATCAGCTGAAGCTACTTTGCAGACCCTCCTGAGAAGATGTAAAGAGATAAGCATTCCTCTGTAAACCATCAAGAAATAAACAGTTAGGCTTTTTCTAGAAATAATTCCTTTCGTCCTAGTGCCTCACAAACATACAACATCTTCAAGGAGGAAAAATGATGCCTAGGATGGAGATCTTGAAGTGGTGGCAAAATCTCCCCAAAGGCTTCCAGCAGTAAAAACAAATAAATAAATAAATCCCACAAAGTTCCTCAGGGACAATACATGGTTTGAGTGGTGGTGATGGTCACATGGCTTTGCACAAGTTAGTCTTCTCTCTTTGGAAGTGTAGATCCCAGCAGATACCAAAAATGACAGCACATGACACAATTCCCCTGCCATCAAGAAGCGGAGCATACTTAGCACTTTCCTCTTAGATCTTTGGCAGCTTTTGAATACTAACCAGACTATTCTCTTTCTAAATACTACCCTGACTCCTCTCTTTTTAAAATACAGTCTCATGATAAACTTAAACTGTTTATTCTCTGCCAGGGTGTAATTTAAGTGTCGAGATTATGCCAGACACTTTTCTACAAAAGACCCAATCTGACATTCTAGCAATCTCTTGGTTTCCTTCCCATTTATATCCTAGAGCAACAACATGTATGTGTGCATGTGAATGTTAATCTTCTTCATAGTATCTGTATTGTAATTCTTTACCCTTTATCACAATGCATAAGCAAAAACTTATACACATGATGTGACATAGATTAAAAGAAAGTTTCTAATACAGAATCAGGAACTCATTTAACAACAGCATCATGACCATTTATTAGCAACATTATCAATATATCCCTCCAGAATGTTCTTGCAAATTCATGCTGGATATCATCTAATCTCTTCACCCCCCAAACTCTTTGAAGAAACATCTTTTGTTCCTACAAAACCCAAAGAACAAAAGAATCTTTCACGTAAGAGATTTTGAGCCAGGAGTCCATTTATTCACTCATTTAACAAATCTTTATTGAGTGCCTACAATTTAGGAGCCACTCGGGCTATAACTGTGATAAAAAATTCAAAAATTTCTAACTTTATGGAGTTTATATTCTATGAAATCTGTGTATAAATCCCAGATAATGGAGTCAACCTCCAAAGTAGCTCCCAACAACTCTTGCCTCCTGGTGTTCATGCCCCCATGTAGCCCCTCTCATAAAATATAGGACTGTCCTGTACAATTATTACAACAGACAAAAATGATAAAATGTCACTTATAAAATACGGTCATGGGCGATATTTCACTCTCTTCAGTCACTCACTCTGAAGAAAGCCAGCTTAAATGTTTTGAGAACACTCAAGCACACTTATACACAGGTCCATGAAGCAAAGAACAGATTTCTCCTGCAAACAACGAGTGTGAAGTTGTGAGGCACGTGAGTGAGCCATCTTCAGAATGGATCCATGCAGTCAAGCCTTCAGATGATCCAAACCCTAGCTGACACCCTGACTGCAACGTAGGATTCTGAGTTAAACTACAGAGTGCCCCAGTACACTTGGAAACCGGGCACAGAATCACTGAATTAAGCAGTGTTTACATTAGAAATATTAATAATATTAATAAATTATCATTAAAATCACAAATTCTAATATAAACTCAGGGGTTAGCACATAAAGCCAGCTGATTACCCCAGGCCAGTATGACCATGTTCCTGGTCTTATGAATGTCACTGCCTTTCTTGGGAGGCTACACATGAGGAGGTATTCCCATGAACTCAGGCTACGTCAGCTCTGTTACTGACACTCCTGCTCTGGATGCTTCTTAGTCACCACTAGACCCCATCAGAGCCTTCTTTCCTACCCTCATCATGTTCAGCATCTCTTTTCTTTTCTTTTCTTTTCTTTTTTATTTGACATGTAGAGTTATAGACAATGAGAGAGAGACAGAGAAAAGGGTCTTCCTTCCTTTGGTTCACCCCCCAAATGGCCCCTACGACTGTTGCGCTGCGCCAATCCGAAGCCAGGAGTCGGATGCTTCTTCCTGGTCTCCCATGCGGGTGCAAGGGCCCAAGCACTTGGGCCATCCTCCACTGCCTTCCTGGGCCACAGCAGAGAGCTGGACTGGAAGAGGAGCAACCAGGACTAGAACCTGGCGCCCATATGGGATGCCAGCACCACAGGCAGAGGATTAACCAAGTGAGCCACTGGCGCGAGCCCATGTTCAGCATTTCTGTTAACCCCTCCCAACCACCACGCTCCCTCCTCAAGAGAGTTGCCACCAGTCTTCCTTGATGTCTTGCTTCCCAGCCCTTGCTTCCAGAGCCATCCCTCTGTGGTTCATCTTTAGAGTTCAAACATAGTCATGTGACTCCAGTGAGGAAAACTCTTTCAAGGTCTCGGGGAGGGGCCGGTGCTGCGGTATAGTGGGCTAAACCTCTGCCTGCAGTGCTGGCATCCCATATGGGCGCCAGTTCTAGTCCCAGCTGCTCCTCTTCCAATCCAGCTCTCAGCTATGACCTGGGAGAGCAATAGAAGATGGCCCAAGTGCTTGGGCCCCTGTATAGAAGAAGCTCCTGGCTCTTGGCTCCTGGCTCCTTGTTTTGGTTGGGCTTAGATGGCCATTGCAGCCATCTGTGGAGTGAACCAGTGAATGGAAGATCTTTTCTCTCAGTCTCTTCCCTCTCTTGGTCTGTGACTCTACCTCTCAGATAAATAAATAAAATCTTTAAAAAAAGGTCTCAGGGAAATTCTAACAGAGGAAAATCACATATAAGTACTCTTTATGAATTTACAAGTTCCTCCATCTTACTCTTGTTCTTGCCTATTATTTGCACATGCAATCATTTTTCAAGAACTGTTTACTTTAGGAGGGAGATTCCGTAAAGTGCTCAGACTGCCTAATGGGTTACTTTGGCTTTAAAGGGCCCTGAATCTTGCTATTTTGCAACCTAGACCTCTGCCCTTTAACATGACAGTGAGAGCCAGAGTCCTGCTGTTTAGTCAGGGACATTGAGTTTAGCTGATCCTTCTACAAAAGCAGTTGCACCAGGAAATAAGAGAACAAAGGTCACAGATGGGAAGAAACAAATAGGCTTCCAGTGAAAGAAGCCAGAGAAATTGCGTAACTAGAATTGTCCCTTCACTGCCTTCGTTTCAAATGATTAAGCACAGTAAGAGGTACTTCATCTGGAGCTCTCAGTAGACTTCAAGATTATAGCAAAGCTTTTCTGTTAGTATTTTACTATTACTTGATTTCATCTCCAGCCCCACTAATACCTTCATATTACCTACATATAGAATTAGAGCATGTCTGATCAGACAGGCCTGACATAACCTCATTGCTGATCAAAAACCCTGATACAGAGCAACTTTCATTTAAGATTTATTTTATTTATTTGAAAGGCAGAGTGACAGAAAGAGAGGGGAAGAAACAGAGCAAGAGAGAAATCTATTCACTGGTTCTTCCAAAATGGTTGCAAAAGTTTGGGCTGGGGCAGACCGAAGCCAGGAGCCAGAAACTCCATCCAGGTCTCCTACATGGTTTACAGAGACTAGATTGCAAGTGAAGCAGCCAGGACTTCAACTTGCACACATATAGGATGCCAGTGTCACAGGTGTGGCTTAACTCATTGAACTACAGCATCAGCTCCAGAAAGCAACTTCCTGACAAGTAATTTTAAAAATCTGCAGCATGGAAATTATTATTTCTTCAAATTTCTCTTTTTTACTCATTTATTACAAATGTATCTTAAACAAGGACAGTAGAAAACTGACAGGTTCAATAGGAGCATGAGGGAGTGACAATGGAACTTATTGTAAAAATGTATGTGTCTGTGTGTGTAAGAAACACTAAGTCATGACCTTAAAGATGACATTTGTTCCTACCTCTACTTTGTCAAAAAACATCCTTCCTTATTTGTATTCCTTCTGCACAAACTGTCCTGGATTTTATTTATTGAATTATGTGGATAGCCTGAAGGCAAGACAAATTTGTACGATATAATTTACAACATATTTGTGACTCATAACTTCTTTTCTCAATTTGGGAGCCAGTGACAAGAATTCCTTCTCCTGTATTACCTACTTCTTCTTCCAAATATTCTGAGATAAGGCCTGAGGATTAAGTTAGTCAATGCCCTAACAGTTTTTACTACACGGCAGCCCAAAAGAGTCTCTTTCTTAGAGAAGGGCCTAGGCAACTGCTTGTTATCATGCAGGATAGGTTAACAAGCACTTTGGAATTTTGCTGAGATATGCAGGGCAATGGAAATCCATTTTCACCCTGCTCCAAGGGGAATAAAAAGGAAATCATTAAATACCCTACATCCAACACTCAAAGGCTGTGTCCTGAGTTCAGATCATGGAGAATGTGCCAGACACCTGGGTCAAGCAGGTAAGACTTCCTTGACAGGACTTATTGGGTGGCAGTTTTCCAGTATGCTGCATTCTGTGAAGGATAGAGTGTAGCCATAATCTGAGTATCACAGAAGAGTTTTATTAAGAGATAAAGATTATTAAATAGCAAAGAGTCAAATATCACATGATAGGTTGAACTATACTTTATCTAGAAGGCAATGAATAGGGGCTGGCATTGTGGTACTCTGAGTTAAGCCGCCACCTGTGATACTTGCATCCCATATGGTGCTGTCTTGAGTCCCAGCTACTCTAATTCCAATCCAGCTCCCTGCCAACGTGCCTGGGAAAGCAGCAGAAGATAGTCCAAGTGTTTGGGCATCTGCCACCTAGGCTCCTGGCTTCAGCCTGGGCCATCCCTAGACATTGGGGCCACCTGAAGAGTGAACCAACAGATGGAATTTTCTCTGTCTCTCCATCACTTTAACTCTGTATTTCAAATAAATAAATAAATATTTTTTAAAATAAATAAAAAGAAGTGAATAGACAGAAAGCATTTAAGGTAAAGCTAAGAAAATGCAAAAAAAAAAAAAAAACAGTATTTTAAAATGTTATTAACAGGCCGGTGCCGCAGCTCAATAGGCTAATCCTCTGCCTGCGGCACCAGCACACTGGATTCTAGTCCCGATCGGGGTGCCAGATTCTGTCCAGCTCTCTGCTGTGGCCCAGGAATGCAGTGGAGGATGGCCCAAGTCCTTGGGCCCTGCACCCCATGGGAGACCAGGAGAAGCACCTGGCTCCTGCTAACGGATCAGCGCGGTGCGCTGGCCACAGCACACCAGCCACAGCGGCCATTGGAGGGTGAACCAACAGAAAAGGAAGACTTTCTCTCTGTCACTCTCTCTCTCACTGTCCACTCTGCC